CCAGCACCAGGGCCATCAGGACAAAGACGGCAGCTGCTTTGAAAGATGGGATGGGGGTTAGGGTGACCAGCGATCCCTCACACTGGAGGACTCCGTCCTGCTCCGTGCAGACTTGGTAGAGGCCGAAGGAGCCCACAGCGCTCACGCTGGGGTCGGAGAGGGCCCCGGAGATCGGCAGCTGGTAGGTGAGGGGTGCTGTCTGTACCCATGCTGGCTGGATAAGCACCACCACCTCCAAGATGCCAAAGCAGAGGCTACAGCCAGCCCAGAGGGCACCCACTGCCCTGGCATTGCGCACAAAGTCGGTCTGATAGAGCGCTGCTGCTTCTCGGGCTGCCAACATGGTCCACGTCTCCTTTGAGAGGCCTGCTGCAAGTGTCCTTCTGCAAGGAGTGTTTTTCTTTTCCCTTCTCCAGGGAGCCAAATCCTACGAGAGCATTCGTGCCTGAAGCCGTTTGAATGCATCCCCTTCTCTGGCCACTCTCCTTTCCTTTGCTCAGCTCCTCCTCCTTTGGGGTGGGGGAAAACTCTGCATACCTCTGCTCCAGCAGCTCCACTTCTCCACCGAGTTGCTCAGGTTCTCCACCCCTGGAATCTGGCAGCAGAGTCCTGTTTGCCCTCCCCCCCCCTCCGCCCAATTCCTCATAGCGATCTCCTGGGGTGACGATTGCTACGCTCTTTTCCTCTGCAGTCTCGGTACTCCTCCGCTGATCGTGATGGAGGAAGGGGGGGAGCAATGCTACATTGCCTCCTTCTCCAAGATTGGCTTCCTTCTTTTTCTGGGTGCTATGGGCGGGGGGGGGGCAGGGAATTGGGTTTTTTTTCCCCCTTGCCAAGCTCATCGCTCTCTACACTGCTTCTTACTTCTCCTGCCCAGGAGGCAGAAGCAGCTACCTGGTCAAATGCCCACCGGCCTTGCCCCCTTCCTCTCCCTCTGTCTTTCTGAGCAACAGCCACTAGGAAGGACTAGGACTGGCTTCAGAGCATCTGCTGCCCAATTCATCTTCCACACACAAGAGGATGGATGCTGAGGGTCACCAGTTCTCCACTGCTAAATCGTGCCCTGGCTTGACAGAACTGGAAAAGGAGACAGAGGAGACTTGGGTGGAGGGGTAGAAACAAGGCTCCCTTTCTCCTCTTCGCCTCAGGCATGAGTTACAGGGATGCAAATGCCAGGGAAGGATTACAGCTTCCAGCAGGAGGCAGCAAGCACCTTTAAATAAATCAGGCAAGTGATTGGTGCAGGCCATTGCTATCCAGAACTGCTATATGTCATTTGGTTGAAGCAGAGATTATCCTTGCCTGGACCATACCACTTCATATCCACCGTTTGTGCGATACATCACAGAGAGAGGGAATAAGGGAGATGGGTTGCAGCTCAGCCATCTGCTGTTCTGTGCTGACAGAGCATTCAGCCAAGCCTTCCGTCACCTGCACTGATATACAGGTATATATATGCCAACGTAGACTTACCCACGGCAGTGAGAACTATACCTAGAAGGCTAGCTGCTAATCTACCTTCCAATTTTTTTCTGTCAGAAATTCAGGGGTAATAGGCAGCATCTTTCTGTTTCTTTCATTTGCAACCTAGAGATAATTCTGAAATGCTTTGGAGGATTTTGGAATGCATTACTGAGAAATGTTTGGAATGCTTCAAGCTCCCTAGACAATGAATTTGCAATCTACTCCCTCTAGTGAGCATTAAGTGTCAACGGAACAGGAGCATAAACAAGGCACCTGAGAAACATACACTCTCAAGGAAACTCAAGGTTTGCTGAATTAAAGAAAATTTTCATTATTATGGGAGCAAAGCTTTCCCTCCAAAGAGACCAATACCAATTACCAAGTGCCATATTGCTCAGCCCACCAGCATCCGACATACCCTTTACTAGGCTGTGTTTTCTCAAGAAAACAGGAACTCTACGAACAACAGCAACCAAGAGGAGCGAAGAGAAGAACACCAGGATCAGGAGGCAAGAAAATATGCAGAAGGATAAAAAGAAAGTAAATGCTTTTGGTAACAATAGTTGGATGGGATCAGACTAAAAGGGGAGGAAATTCAGGAATGGAAATGTATGCAGACACCTGGGAAGAAAATGTATAGAGATTGTGGCGGGATGAGGAAATGAAAAACAAGCAACAGGAAAAGCTAATCATGAAGAGAAAATGTTCAGAGACGTGGTTGTATAGTACATAAAGTGAGCAGCCTGTGGCCTTCAGACCAAAATGCCACCCCTAAATTACATGGAACCCACCTACTTTTTCTACTGGCCAGTCATCTTTATCTCTGTCTCTGCCCCAATTACCCTAGCAATCTATCAGCTGTCTGCCACCATTAGCAGAAGGTAGATCCTCAGCACTCCATATTATCAGCTGGCAGGAAAACAGATGACGGGGTAATGCTCAACAGTGTTTGCGTATCAGAAAATGCTGGGGCAGGCAGGCTGCCAAACAAATCATATGGGACAGATGACTATCAATGTAGTTTTTTGTCTCGTATCATAAGCGAATAGGTTAAACAGATCCAATGAATAGCCAAGCAGTATATAGGCCGCAAAGAAAGGGAACAAAGGAAAGGGACTGATGCTTCCCAAACGCTCAATGGATCTGTCATGTGGCTGTTTTTGGTTTTTTTTTAGCATTTGTCTCACAAAGTTGCAAGAGCCTTCCTAGTTCTTCCAGCAAAGCTATCAATGCCTGATGTGACAAAGGAGTTTTGGTTATCAGCCAACTTGCTGCAGTCTGATATGGATCAGAGCTGAGATGGGGGTAACTGGCCCAAAATCAGCCAGGTGGCTTCTGTGCCTGAGGTGAGATTAGAACCTGGGTTTCCTCCCTCTTAACTCAGTACTGTGGCCAATGTACCATACAGGTCTCTCCTTACTGGGCCTACAGTATCATACTGTACTTTTTGAAATGTGTACCTGTTAATGGGGAATTGTGAGGAAGTAGGTACTGGCAGAAAATGAAGGACAGTATCAACTCAGCTGCAAGCTGAGCCGAATCCTGGGATGAGGACAGATGAGTCCAACCTTCTTCCACACTTGGTGGCTCTACCCAAAAAGTAAAAAATATTGGGGAAAAAATTAGACTGTGGATAAGAGAAACTACAAGTATTCAATTAGAATTTAAACCTGAAATATTTTTGTTGGGAATGTTAAAAGGGGACTACGCAAATGAAATGAAATATTTAATTCTCCATATAATCACAGCGGCAAGAATTGCGTTGGCACAATGTTGGAAGGGCGATCAAATGCCAACACATAATTTGATTACTCAGAAAATACTTGACTGCGCTGAAATGGACCTACTCACACAAAAACTTAGGAATAAGGAAGACTCAAGATATATTACAGCTTGGGATAAATAGTATAAGTGGATTAAAGAGAAAAAAACAGGAAATTAAAAGAGATGGTTTTGATGAATGGAGTGGTTAAATTAAGAATGTTTATCAAATTAAGAAACAAAAAGTAGTAAAATTATTACCAAGAAAAAAATCACACCGTCTTAGTTGATCAGAAACATATGTTTTATAGGTATCTATTATGTTTTCTTATATATAGATTTTGTCTGCAACGTAAAGTTGTATTCGATGTATTGTACATAGTTTTTTTATTTTTTAATCTTTAATAAAGTTTTCTTTTAATTTTTTTTTAAAGTTTAACAATGCACCTCTCTCCCCTCCAAGATCCCTCTAAATACAGACCCATCCCTAAATACACGCACATATACAATTGCAGGCAGAGATATAACTTTATTTGAATTAGAAAGAGTACAAATCAAGCAGAGGAACATACAAACATTTTTTTTTTAGTGAAAGCTACAATCCAACAAAATGTTCTCCAAGTTTCAATATCAACCCCAAAATACCCATATCCCCTCCCCAAAACCACCAGGGCCGGCCCTGGAAAACGATGCACCCTCATGTGGAAGTTGGTGGTCTCCTTTCAAACACACAGTGACACGCCCTCCCACTCGTCTTTTTTCTTGCCACCACCACCCCATTAACTCTTTTCAACAAATACCTTTTTCCTCCATCAGCTTTTCTCAACAGGAAGCAAATTGGTCCTCTCTAGATGCTTTGGACATGCCCTTCAACCCAACTAACATAATCAATTAAGGACAATGGAAGCTATAAGCCAAAACACCTGAACTGGCTGCTCTTATTTAAAGGCTAGGTAAGTTTGCCAGTTCCCGAATATTGCCCCCCACACACCATCACTATTTAGCTTGACAGAAGAGAAGCTCGAAGACTTTCCTCTTGTACACCTAAGCCACCCCCATCCTCACAGGGAAGCAGCCAGGGGATCTAACCCAATCTTTCCCCAGTCATTTGCCAGGGGCTCTTAAGGAAGGCCACCCTGCTTCTTGCTTAACAAGCCAACTATACCAAGTTATTTCCATTAAAGCTATCAAAGCCCAATTCTCACATTCTCTTTTGCCCCAGGCCATTCTTATTTTTGTCTGCAGAAAACAACCTGCACATAAATGCAAGGTTTCAAATCATGCCATTCTAGAAGTGTCATGACTCATCCTAACTAGTGGCTTGGCCATCGTGCCTCAGGTTAACCTCAGGTTGTGTTTAAAGTGACATTTCCCTTTCTCTCTTTTACCCATACATGCATATACATCGTGTGAACCTGGTCTTAAAATTACAACGCAGGTCCTTAATAAAGGCAGACCAACATCACACCCTACCTACTCTAATCTCAAAGCAAAACTTTCTCTCGTTCACTCCAATGTCTTGCAGATTATTTTAAAATCAACACAGGCTTTTCCCCAACTGAGCAAGAAAGCACTGTAACGGGGAGGAGAGAGACGATTTCGAGGAATATACAGTAATATAGAGAGGAAAGGCAGCCTTGCACAATCAAACACTGGAAAAGTGAGTCCCTTGCAACTTTAGTAAAAAAGAATTAGCGTGGTATCTCTTCGGCATTGAAGAAAGCAAAGTACTTCTGATTGGAAGCAAAGGTTATCCTTAGTGCGCTAACAGTTGATTATTCCTCTTCATGGATTGGACCAGAAGAGGACGTTTTTTTGTCCTAGTGGAAGCAGTGAGTGTGCTGGTGGTTGATTTATGGCTGCTGGTGGTATTGTAATTGATGGTTGCTGGCTATTTTTTTTTTGGCACAAAGAGCCCTTTTAAGAAGCCTCCGATTCACTTCAGTGAGGTCAAACGATGGTTGATTGTGCTGCATTCAATCTTCGGACTTCCCTCTGGACAAAGTCACCTTAGGAAGGCAGGTGCATGTCCACTCCAAACTTCAACTTGTGAGCCTGGCACTTGGCTTCAAGAAGGACCTGAAGAAAAAAAACACTTACACTGAACATCAGCACTTGGATTTGGCCATCCAGCCCTGTATTCTGTCCTCTTTAGTGAGACTAGCGTAACAGCTTTACAGTTGGTAAAGCTGAGAGACAGAGCTGTGTGTTGGTGAGAGTTCTGAATTTAGACAAGAAGGGCTATTATATTTCAATTCTTTTTTATTAATCCTTTTTATATATATGTCCGAAGAAAGTTATTAAACCTGAATTCAAAACCCATTCTAGCCTCACCTCCCTACTCAACCTTGCTCCCATTCATTAACCTGGGGGACAACGACAAACAGCTTCCTTTGTTCTCTTCTCCCAGAAGGGAGAAGACCCATCAATATTCCTGCAGTTGAGAAATATTGCTTTCCAATTTTTCCTTTCTCCCCAACAAAATATTACAGAAAGAACTTTCCCCTTGAATTACAGAACCCAGAGAGATTTATTCTTTCCTTCCACAACAGCCATTTTTTTTCAAAGTCTACCCCTTGCACTGTGATAAATAAAATCCTATGCTATGCCCCATATTGTGTGGCCCTCGGCACCTTGATTTTGTCTGGCATGAAGAAGTTTTACTCAGCTGTTCAGTTTGTCCCCATTCTTCCATCAACATCATTCTGCATTTTACCCCAAATAGCAAATGACACCGTTGGCAGTAGAAGAAAATCCATTCCACACCAGCCATTTGCTTAATGCTCTTTCTTACAAGAAGATAAGCTGCTTTGCCACTTGTACAAAAGGGGCTATGGGGCAATGCCTCTCCCCTAACAGAATAAGGTATCCTGTAGACATTAGTGGATATTTATTTGTTTATTCATTAACTCTCTATCCAGCCTTTCAAGGCAATACACATAATTATTTCCTTCCTCTTATGACCATGAGACAGGCTGGCCTAGAAGATTAGCCCAAAGCTCTTCCCTACACACACACACACACACACACACACACACACCCCAGGTAAACTTCAGTGACTGAGAGTGAACTAATTTCTCTACTTGTGGTCTAAATCCAATGTCCTTAAAATGATTATCAATCTAAAAAGCAGTCTAAAGGCTTCCCTAATCAAGTGTTTTGCTGATGCTCTGGCTGAGGACGATGGAGTTTATAGTCCAACATGTCCCAAAAGCATAAAACTGTTAGGAAACTTAAAAATCTATGTGATATGTGGTTGGGCTATTTTGCAAACTTAGTGCAGCCTGATGAACACTGTCTGACAAGTTGGGGGCTGGAGGGTCGCCTGTCGAGCATCCATGATATACTGACTAAAACACTGTCTCTCAAAACACTTTCCTAAAGGTATTCCTCCCTCCTTCCCCTCCCTCTAGATCTATTGGATAATAACTAGTCAGATGTCCTGGTGTTATAATCCAAACTCTTCTGGAGCACACCAGAGTTGAAAAGGTTCCCCTAAATCATGCTCTGTAATGACTCCCTGTGCTTCACACCCACACGCAATAAAATACAATAAACTCTTGCCTAACCGACAGTCTTGATGGCCAACGGAAGAAGAAAACGTTGCATTTCTCTCATCTGATCCTCAGATGTGCAGTTCAATATTCAATTTGGGGAGGAGGAGAAAGAGGAGGAGAAAGAGGAGGAGGAGGAGGAGTTACAACTCACTGGGTGACTGATATAGGCTTGACAGTCATAGCACCAGGCAGAGAGATCTGAAAAGCTAAGCACCAGTGGATGTCCAGATTCCTTGTTGTGATCCAGCATATGTTGATTAATGTAGCGTCCACAACAGACCTGAAACGAATGTAATATTTCAGGAGGGCAGAGCTGAAACATTAAAGGCACAGATCTAGAATGTCATGCTCCGGCCAGAGACATTTTATTGGGGAGATGGGCAGCACATAAATTTAATCCATCAATCAAATGATCTCAAATTTCCTTAAAGGCATAACCCCCCCTCCCCCCCCCACACAAAGCAAATGGAGCATATTACAGAGAAGAAAGTAACGGTGGAGAACAAACTCTGTTGTTATTTCATTCAAGCCAGTCAAGCTGGAAGATGATAGAAGCAGGTCAATGAAACGCCTAAAATAGCTCCTGGCCAAGAGCACCTGGAGGAACGTCCCCTTGCCTGCCATAACAGACAATGAGCCCCTGAGCCAGAACTCAAAACTAGCAACTCCAGAAGGAGATATAATTGGAGTACGAAGAGCCACCTTATAGCATGAGCAATCTGTGCATGATCAGCTCTTTTTTTAAAACTCCACAGAGCTCTCAAAGTTGATGTGAGTTTCTGGCAATTTGGATGGGAAACTAAAGAACCACAGGTGTCAGGTGCCCTCAGAGAATTAACAATGTGTAGGGAAAAACTAAACATTCCCAGCAAAATAGAGAATGAACTGAAAATGCAGCTTCCTTTGATGACATTGTTGCATTACTGCTCCATCAGCAGCGAACCTTTGTGTAATAGAGACCCCAATTGGTGGAGGATGGCCACCGTCCACCAAAAATTTACCCACTCTAAACTATTTTTTTAAAATAAATTTATTTATTCAAAGTTTCAAAAATTTAAAAAAGAGAAACGAGTTCTCACATTTTACAGCAGTGTATATGTCCGTTAGTAACAATTAGGTTCATTTACCCTAGGTACTTCTGTAGCTAGTTTACTAGTTTTTTGCTTACTATACTACTGTTAAATTACAATACTTATTTATCTACATTACTTTACATATATACACATAAGTCATATATCATATTCTTCTTTGAGATTTCTTTAGTCATTTTCACAAACATCGTTACACCCTTTTTTTTAACCATTTATACCATATGTTCTATATCGTAAAATATTCTTCCCTGTTTTTTAATAACACTGTTAGTCTAATCATTTCTGCTCATTGATGTATCTTATTCATTATTGCTAGATCTGTGGGTGTCGTGGTCAGTTTCCAGTTTTGAGCAAGAGAAATTCTTGCAGCGGTTATAATATGTAATATTAGGTGTTGGCGTTTCTCCACCCTAAGCTATTAAGTAGACTTCCTTCAGGAACAGGGAGGGTCCTTATTTGGCCCCAGGTGTATCAAAACCCAATTACTTCTAGCCTCTAACCCCGAAGCGGCACCTTCAGGACTGGTATCCTTACTTTATAGCACACCAGACAAACCCAGTTCTCCATCTCGCTGCCACATTCTGCACAAGGCTCCCACACATTCAGGCCCCCAGGAGGCACAGGCAGCACGGAGCTGAGGTGGGGGCACCAGGGCAAGGGAGTCACGACATAAAAGAGCCCCTGCAAAGAGAGAACAAAAGAATCCTTCTATCCTGACATCCAGCCTAGAGGCTGTCCCTTCTACGTCTTGACTTTTTCTCATCAAGTTAAGACTCCCTCCTCCCCTGTTCTGAAACTTTTGCTAAACTCAGAAATTCCCCTTTGTGTATCTTCAGCTTCCTGGGACTGTTAAATAACCCCCCAGGCACTTCTACCACTCTCCTCTCTTGTCTCAGGGCTTTTAATTCAGAAACTGGTTGGATTTGATAAGAGTTTGCAAGTCCTGTTCAAGGACCACTTCTTCTATCACTTCTGTCCTGGTTCTGAAGTCAGGCTTTAACTGGACTTGATTCTAGAACCAGCCACACAGATTCTCTGTTGTCTAACGACTCTAACCCCTTGAGCATCACAGGAGCATTCCTGAAATCTCTGCTGGAATACTCATGGAGTTATATCACATCCTTGTAAAAACATGTAAGATGTAGATTCCTCCGTCTCGAGTTGAAAGTCTCACGTAAATACGCAAGGCTTTTCCAGTCAGACTACAAGCCAAATATGCCCGTTCACTCTTCCTTAGGCCCACCGACATGCTATTGCAGCTCTATCAGACACAACTTTCTCTAGACTCAAGAAATCGAATCCTGACCTCTTCCCAATAATCTCTTCCCCTCCCAATACTCACACTGCCAGCCACATTATCCCCAATCTTCTCATCAAACGAAGAACAACCCCCTGCTGCTTCATCCAACAGGACAACCTCAACATTCATTGGGCGGTGATGCTGAAAATAAGAGGGGGGAGGGAAAAAAGAGAGGGATGATCGAGATGATATGAGGTGGTATTTTCCAGAAGTCCTTGAAATGTAGTTATTTTATAGCAGAGTTGCAGCTTCCACATCTATTGTTCTCATGAACAGGGCCGATTTTGTGGAAGGCAACCCTGGGTGAAGCCATCTTGGAGCTTCAGTGCTGCCACACTGGAGCTGAGGGATAGGGAGGGGGGATTAGAGATAGCTGGGGCTGTGTAGTCAAAATAAAATACTCTCTCTTAGGAACCAAGGACGTTCCCACACCTGGCCAGAAGAAGGAGTGATGTCACCAGACCATCAGACAGCGACTTGATTGGACCATATGACTGACTGTTTGGGGTTGAGAGAAAAGCCTTTACTTTTAATTTGGGGAACAAACCGTGGGACCCTTCAGAGTCGGTTTTCACCAGATCTGTGCCAATATATTTCCAATAAAGCTATTCTTTAAGGAATCTACCTGCCTTAAGAGTTTTGCTTGATGTGGAACTATTACTTGGAACCCTGACAGGGAAGCAGGGAAAAGAGCCTTGGTTATCTCTTCCCCAATCTCTTACCAACCTCAGTAGTTTAAATATTTCAATTGGGCCGAGCAGTTTTTAACCATCTGAAATGATGAAATGCCTTTGTTTAAAGACTTATAATCTAAATCAGCTTTACTTCCTTTACATGTGGACTATGACTTCCATTGTCCCAAACAGCATCACTCCAAAATGTTGGCTGTTAGGTGGTAAAGGGAATAGTAGTCTAACACAGAGGTCTCCAACCTTGGCAACTTTAAAGCTTTGCTGACTGAGGAATCCTGGGAGTTGAGGTCCACAAGTCTTAGTTGTCAAGATTGGAGACCCCTGGTCTAACACACAGCGATCCCCAACCTTCCTGGCTCCGTGGACCGGCATCAGGGGTCATGGCTGGGGGTGGGGAGAGGACGGTTAAAAGAAGAGAATCACTGACATGGAACTTAGACAAATCTGGGGAAATGGAAACAACAGCTTCCTATGCAAAGAGTGGGAGGGGAGGGATGAAAGAAGAAATCACAGATGCAGAGTAGTTTTATGCATTCTTCTGCGTCCATTAGGTTAATTCTGAGCTCTTCAGACAAGGAGGAGGGTGAGCATTTCCAGTGCTAACTCTTTCTCTTCAATATGAACAACACAAGAAGATTCTTCTCATCTTCTTATGCCATATTCGTCACTGGACGCTGTCGTTCCTGTTTTTATCAACAGCCACACGAAGATTGGCTCCTTCCTAAACGAATTCTCAGCACAATCATTGGGGAGGCCAAGAAGCTGGAGCACACTTAGACTCGATGAGGTCTTTCACACAATAGCTATAGCACGTAGAGATAAATCGCTTCACAGTGCTTTTCAGCCCTCTCTGAGAGATTTAGAGTCAGCATTTTGCCCTAAAGAATCTGGGTCCTCATTTTACCGACCTCAGAAGGATGGAAGGCTGAGTCAACCATGAGCCAAGGGGGATTGAACTCCTGACAGTTGGCAGAATTAGCCTGCAAGACTGCATTCTAACCATTGCGCCACCATGACACAAGCCCCCAATTGCTTTGCGACAGCCATGGCTTCGTGTGAAACACAAATTGATGTGAAACGTATTCCCTAAAAGAGAAAAGCAGCTCGAAAAATCCATGATGTGTAAAGAAAAAAAGCTTTGGTACTCACTTCTTTGTCAGGAGCCATCCCTTCCCCAGAGAAGCTCTCTGCCGATCCCCCTTCCCTTGGTGCATTCTCTGCAGGATCCATTTCCTTAGGGGATCCGCTGACTTTTGGCCGAGCTTCCTCACCCACCGGACTAGAATCAGGAGAGAGAGAACTCGAAGCCGTTTCGCCTTCTTCCGTCAGGTTGTCTTCTAGCTGGAGGGAGCCCAAGCCCATCACGGCATCATCTATAGCTTCCACAGGCTGAGCTACAGGGCTTTGGAGCAACTCCTGAGGGACTTGTTCAGGAACCTCATTTGGAACGGGAGTTTCCTTCCCAGCCCGAGTCCTGGGCTTCTCCCACAGAGTGGCAGGCACTGGGGAGGAAAAATAAAAGTTGCCTTCCAGATGCTTAGCTAAGATGACGGGAATGGAAAAGGTGGGAAAGTGAACCCAGTGTTACTAAATGGGCAGGCACTCAATACAACTCCGACCTCCCTTTACTTGCGCACTTATTTCCTTGCGTCTTCCCCGACTTCATCTTATCCCCTTTGTTTAAATTCTTACGTCCGACCTCTCTCTCTCTTCCTCCCTCCCCGGCTTTCTTTGCCCTGTTCTGCTGCAGCCCATTCCCTGTGACAGTGCTTTGTAGGAAAGAGTCTTTTGCGACATCAGCAGGAATTCAACCAATCTCTTATCGTTCTTTTCCTACACTGTGTAGTTGCTAGGCACCCTCCAACATCAAGATGAAAGGCCTTGATGCTGCTATGGCTGTGAAGATCAAATGTCTCTTAATGCAGGGGTCCCCAACTGTGAGTCATGGACCGGTATGGGTCCGTGGTCTGTTAGGAACCGGGCCACACAGCTGGGGGTGAGGGGCTGGCGGGCAAGCAAGCAAACTTCACCTGGATTTGCAAGCCTCAGCTCCATCTCAGGTCACTGATTCTCATAGAAGCGTGAACCCTACTGTAAACTGCGTATGCGAGGGATCTGGGTTGTGCGCTCCTCTTCCTCCATCCCTTGGTCCGTGGAAAAAAATTTCTTCCACAAAACAGATCCCTGGTGCCAAAAACGGTTGGGGACTGCTGTGTTAATTGATCCCCCCACTTTTGCCAGTTCTTGGGAGTTTAGGCCCCTTGCATGCTTCTCCAAGGTCAGGCGTGCCCTTTTGTTAGTCACCCCACTGGACTGAGCTGAAAGCAACTATATAAGTAACGTATCCAACTCTCTATTCATTATAGCAAACATCTGACCATCCAGCCTCCCCATGAAGATTAACTTTTGTGGCCTCTTGTCCTCAGAGAATTCACTCTTTTTGCCTTCTCTCTGAACACTATTTATGTGATCTTCATCTTGATGAGTTTTAAAAGGAGAACGGCTGGCTTCCAGTCCTTTTACCTCCCTCTCCAGTAAAGAGACAAGCCCGTAGGTGTAAAAAGCAACCGCTTCTGATAAGAAGGCACATGTCTTGCAAGTCAACTGCACCTTCCTTTTGGCAGAATCGGAGTTGTTCTTTCCCCTGCTAAATGGCCTCCAAAAATCTTCTGGTTTGATCTGTCCCCCTGTCTTAAGAACATCATTTGAGAATAAGCTCCTACCTAAGAAATTACTCCACCTACAAGCTGATCACCTAATCAGGAAGCCTGTTATAGCTGTAAGCTTCCATGCCTCTTATTTAGACTGTGTGTGGAAAACAAGGAAGCACACAACCTCTCAGCCAGAAAACTATGCAAACCCCAGGCAATCAGCCTGCTCTGTAATTCACAGGCTCCCTTGCAAAACTCCTTTGCTCTTGTTGCCTACCTGTGGCTCATTCTGCACAAGACTGTGCCATATTCCCATTTTACAAGGGCCCCAAATGCATGGCTCAATAGTATTAGCCTCTCGTGGAATAGAAGTGGGGGAAATCTATGAGAAATACCGACACTACAACTTCACAGTAAGAGGTAAATTGCAGATTTTGTTTTGGTGGACAGCCACTACGCTGTATCAGTTGTTATGAAGTGCATCAGCCCAGACGGAACGGAGATACTTTCGATAAAAAGAGAAATATTCACCTTCCAGTCGGAGGCTTGCCCAATATTTGCGGTGCACAGCAGTGACACGGGCCAAGGACTGCAGGGCACTCAGATGGGGAGGCTTTAGGCGTCCGAGTGGGGGTGGAGGATCCCCCAGGAGGCTGCGTGTGCACATAGTCATGGACTCTGAGATAGAGTCTAGGTTGTAGCCACCCTGAAGGAAAAGAAACACCGTTACTTTGACATCAAAATAATTGCTATCAGCCAGTGATGGGATTCAAAATTTTTTACTACCGATTCTGTGGGCGTGGCTTGGTGGGCATGGCAGGGGAAGGATATTGCAAAATCTCCATTCCCTCCCCACTCCAGGGAGAAGGTTACTGTAAAATCCACATTCCCTCCCCACCCCAATAACTTGCTTTCCAGTTCCGTTCTCCTGTGCAGGGCAACAAAAGAAGACCCAGCCGACTGACTTCCGGTTTGTCGGCTTCGCGAGCGGCAGGGATTTGTGAAGCTGCGCGATCCCTGCCGCGCTAGCCGTTTTTGGGGCTCCGACCCAGACGGGTACGGAGCTAGGCTGCCCTGCAGGGGCAGCTGAAGGTAGGGGGGATCCGGAGAAGGGTTTGGGGGTGTTGCAGACTCCCTCCCTGGCCGGCAGAACTCCCTTTTCCCAGGACGGTGCAGCGGCGGTCTGTAATGGCCGCCACAAAGAAGCTGGCAGCCGGGTAAGAATGCGCAGGAGGAAGTGGAGAAAGTGATTGAGAGAAGAAAGTTTTTCTTGGCTCCTAGGACTCTAAGACATATTTAATAAAATTCCTGAAAAGTATGACTTTCTGAATAATACCTGCCAGAAGAGGAAAAAAGCGGCTGTTTGAAGGTGCTGAAAGGATAGCTTTCCCTCTTTTCCTACGGAATAAATAACTGGATATTAAGAAATCTATTTCTTTTAGGTGAAAATTGGTTTTAAGCGATGAGTGGGAAGAGAGAGGATTAAAAAGAAAATATTTGTATGCTAAGACTTTGTTGGAGCAGATGCCTTAAGGATTTGAAGACTAGAATATATTGCAATAAGATTTTAAACAGATTTGGACTTTCTTTCTCTTGGATTGATATTACCCCAGAAGGAGAAAGTGAGAACTCTGCCTTGGTTTGGACTGACTGATAACTTTGGGACTGTTTTATATTTTTTTTATTCTCTTTTGAATATTCTGGTTGTTGTAAGAAGAAAGAAGGGGAAAAGAAAAGAAAAGATTTATAATGGCTCTTTCTGTTGAGGAACTAAGAAAAGAATATGAACAAGCAAAAAAAAAATGGTAAAGATGGTGTGGAAGAAGCTTTCCTTTTCTTAGAAATGGCGCTTATTAATTATCAACAAACATTACAACAGATGAAGACAGCAGAGGAACAAGAAAGAAAGGAAGGAGCCATTTTTAATGAATCTCAGAATTTGATCCAGAAAGAAGGAAGAGAGAAAGAAAAGAAAAGAAGAGAAAAGAAGAAAACTAAAGGACTTAAGGACTTAAGATCTAAAAAAACATTTAAGAAAGGGAAAAATAAGGTGCAAAACCAATATGATGATAGTAAACAAAAGGGAAAAGGAATACGACAGAGAAGGGAAGCTGGTAAGGCAGAGGCTAGAAGAAGGGGGGGTAGAAAGGTTTGTTGGGAGAAGAAAGAAAGGGAAAAGGTGGAAAAAAGCTACAATGTTTTGAAATTAAATGAAAAAAAGAAATTTTTTATGGATAATGGATAAAGTATATTTTTTTAAAAAAAAAAAAGATTTTGCAAGGTACATAAGATGAGATGGTAGTATTGTAATGATTTAAGAGTTGATAAGAGATTAAAATGTTAAAATGTTTAAAAATGATTGGCTTTAAAACTTAATAATAGGGGAGGTTTAGAATATTGTTTTAATTAAAGAGTTTAATAAGACTATGGTATTGATGTTATTATAAAATTTTTATTATAGTATCTTTTTTTAATATTTGGATTTATTGTCTAATTATGTACTTAATTATGTTGGATGTATCAGTTAGATAGAATGTACCAAGCAAAATCGGATTGGGTATTAGATATTACTTTAAAGATTAATTTGATTAACTTGGGGGGAGATAGAAAGGCATCATACTCTGATTAATGATTTCAGGAGAAACTTATTTTCTTTTTTTTTATAAGGAATGAGACAAAGGGATGATAAGAAATGGACAAAAGATATAAATATAATGATTCAAACTAAGATGATTAATTAAGATAGAAGTAAGAAGTGTGAAATATGTGGGGAAGTTAATATAGAAGGCTTAGAATGGTAAATAAAATAAGTAATGATATGTAAGATGAGCATGAATATAATTGAAGTCCATGAAGAGAGAGACACCTGGGTCCAAGTTACTTTCCAAAAAGATTTTTTTTATGTTTTGTGTGTTGTGTGTATATGTCTTTTTGGGGGGGAGAATTAGTTAAAACTTGTAGAAATATAGAATGAGAATAATGGTAACTAAGTCAGAAAGAAACAGATGAAATAATAATAATGATATTGAATAAGAGTAAAGAGAAGTAAAGAGAAATTGAATAAGAGGTTTTGGTATGTTGTATGGAAATGGTTTAAAACAGAATTATAATTTATCTGACTTGTTAAATTGACAATGAAAAAAGGTTTAAACATGTAATGAATAATGATAATTTGTGTGTTTTAAAAATTAATAAAACTTGTTTTAAAAAAAAAAAAGAAGAAGACCCAGCCGATCAGCTGGGACTCGGGAGGCAGAGAATAGATGGGGACAGGGCCAGTCAGAGGTGATATTTGCCGGTTCTCCAAACTACTCAAAATTTCCGCTACCGGTTCTCCAGAACTGGTCAGAACCAGCTGAATGCCACCTCTGGTACCAGCCTACATGCAGGTTGGTGTGCAAGAACAGAGCTGCTACCGTAAATATTCTTTGCAATCTAAAATAGAAACAGTAAGTTTCTAGTCCTGAAGTCTATGCTTCCAGACAGCAAAGGCAATTTCAGCCTCTCCAGGGAACAGAAGCTACCAATCACACTTGGGGGCTTCAACTTAACACCAAGCCTTGTCTATTGGCAAGATTTTGGTTGCTGTGAGCACAGGAAAGAGAGGGAATGAGGAAAAGAAGTAAGAACGGCAATTAACATAGGGCTTGAAGCACTCACAATTCACAGACAGGCAATCCTGGCTTAACCTCCACTTCTTCAGCGATTCTTTAAAGTTACAAGAGCACTGAGTGAAGGGGACTTAAACAACAGATCCTCAGAACTGCAGCTATCACAGCATGCCCCAGTCTTGTGACCTTCCCTCCCAGCTTCTGACTGGGGAATCCAGCAGAAGGTTGCAAATGGTAATCGTGCAATAGCAGGATCTGCGGCTGCATGGGGTTTGCCTAACGATGGCAAGTGGGACCACCAGAAGTACCATCGAAAGCTGGAGCAGTCATGTGATGTCGCACCTTAGCAATGGAGGTTCCTTGTCCCAATTACTGTTGTTAAAGCAGGACTGCTTATATCTGGGATGGTGAACCTACGGCATGCATGCCGGAAGTGGCACGCAGAGCCATTTCTGCTGGCACATGAGAGGTCACCGGAACAGCCCCACTGTGCATGCGTGTGCACCCCCTACCAGCCGATTATCAGGTATCTGCTGTGCATGCACAGGGCAGATGCGTGCGTGGGAGATGCATGCGCATGGGGTGGGGGTCTCACATGCATGCGCAGAGGCACGCAGTACACGCATAGGGGGGCACGCAGGGGTGGGATTCTACAGGTTTGCACCTATTCGCTAGAACCGGTTGTTAACATTATAAGCAGTTCGGAGAACCGGTTGTTAGAAGAAATTACTGGCCTAATCCTGTAAGGAAGGCAGGAAGGAAACATCCTGGTGTTGCTTACAGAAACTGCCTCTCCGTTAACCCTTATTACATTCTTGGCAGGACTAGACTTCCTGTCTCAGGAACGTCTCTGGAGGTTTTTTTTTCCTCCTTTGCTGTTACTTTGCTTGTGTGGAGTGACCATTCAAAGTTACAATGGCACTGAAAAAAGTGACATGACCATTTTTCACACTTACGACTGTTGCAGCATCCCCACAATCACGAGAGGCCAGGTGAGGAGATGCTTGCCCCGATGTGAGTGATGCTGAGTTGGCCACACCCAGTCAATAACATGACCACCAAGCCACACACACTAGCTAAGCCACGCCCAGAGAACCGGTTATTAAAAAATTTGAATCCCACCCTTGGGGGCACCCGCATGCATAGGGGAGCCGGGGGGGGGGGCACGCACACATTGCATTATGGGTGGAGACACGCATGCGTGCGCACACACAGTTTTGGCATGTGACGAGGAAAAGGTCAGCCATCACTGGCCTATACTATACATATTACTGTCAGTTGGATGACCTTTGTAGACACATTGGCAACTCTGGGAATACGGTGTCGTCCTTCTCATCAAAGAGTTTCACCAGATTTGGCAACTGTGCTGGCCGTTATGGCTAGACGGTACACTGCCAATTTAACAGATGAGAAGCCTGTGGGGAATGCTGCTTCCTGGCAGCTTCTGCAGCTTTCCAGGATATTCTCTCCCTCTTTAGTCAATCTTTGTTGTCTCAGCGGGTCCCCTCCTTCCAAATGAAGCACAGTGTGATAGCCGCTGTGCTTTGATCAAAGTCCTTCTGGAGCCCACATGGAGCCCCAAAGGCATCCTTGGAAGCAGAGGTGGGATCCACAGGGTTAACTACCAGTTCAGTCATTTATGAGGTTCGGTGATTTACGATATGCTTCCCTGCATGCTGCCAGCCGCACGCCTGTAAATCATCATCAGCATGCTGCGTGCAGAGAAGCAGCCTTTGAAAAAGCCCTTTTTTCCTGCTTTTTTAACTGCAGCTGTGCCTCGCACGGCAGCTGAAGTTGAAAAAAATCAGGAAATAAAGGTCAGGTAAGAGCCCGGGTGGGCAGGTGGGCAAAAACATCAGCAGACATGGAACCGGTTCTATGTCCGCTGCTCTTCAGAGCTACCGGTTCTACAGAGGTGGACAGAACCGGTAGAAACCCACCCCTGCTTGTAAGCAATGCTGACATGAGAACTCGGTGCTTTGTATCTTGTTGGCTTCTGCTTCATTTAAAATGGCAGAGAATGAAAAGAGTTAATGTCGGGGCTGGGTGGCGGCATCAGGGTCGGAGGGTGACGTTCAGCACATTTCTCCTCTCCCTCGCAACAAAACTGTTTTCAAATGCTGCATTTGAACTTTTCCTCCTAGGAACGGAAACCTCTGTCCCTCTGCAACGATACGGCAATTATAAGCATCTGTAGCCTTTTTTCTTGCTTTGAAGTGGAGAACAAAAACCACAAAAAAGGAGTGGAGAAGAATACAGGTAGTCCTCGATTTACAGCAGTTCATTTAGTGATCGTTCAAAGTTACATCGGCACTGGGGAAAAAATGACTTACAACCGTTTTTCACACTTATGACCGTTGTACTATCTCCATGGTGACACGATCAAAATTCAGATGCTTGGCAACTGGTTCATATTTATGACGGTTGCCGTGCCCTGGAATCACGTGATCAGCTTTTGCAACCTTCCGACAAGCAAAATCAATGGGGAATCCTGATTTATTTAACAACCGTGTTATTAACTTAACAACTGCAACGATTCACTTAACAAGGATGGCAAAAAAAGGTCGTAAAATGAGACAAAGCTCACTTAAATGGTTCACTTAGCAATATCAATTTTGGGCTCAATTGTGGTTGTAACTCAAGGACTATTTGTACTTACTTTTTCCCCCCTGAAACTCACTCCTCGTTTTCTCCTCACTGGATTCCAGGCCCCATTTCCTCGTGATTTCTCACTCTGTGTATCTACCCATACAACAAAAGTAGCTCCCAGATAATAAAGGCAAGACTTCTGACCTACCTCTAGGACAACGGATACTTTCCCTCCTGCCAAACCCAAGAGGAGGTGGGTCATATGGGCGTAGCATTCTGGGGTCACAAGACAACCCCCCAGTGGGTCCCCTCGAGCAGCATCAAAACCAGCCGACACCAGGACCAGCTCCGGGTTGAACTGGGAAAAAAACACAACAGGGTGACTGAACCTTCTGCTTTTCCTGCTAACGCATCACCTTGGGGGCCAAGTGCAAGCAGCTCGGCTCTTTTCGGATACTGTGACTAGAACATCCCAGAATCCTCAAACATAAGCCAGGATGGGTTGGGTTCTTGAGAACTGTAACCCAGCCTACCTAGTGGCTACCCAGTTATCTTAGCCAAATGGAACATGCCTACAACCTCTAGATCAGTGGCAAGGAATCTCAGGGTCTGCACATCCCTGCAAAAGACCGTTCGGGTTCTAAATGCCTTAGATATCTCTGTAGAAAGTTTAAACTGTTGTTTTTATTGTACACCACCCAAGTTACTTGTGTGAGATGGGTGTTCATGTACCTTTGATTAAATAAACAAATAGCACTCAATAACTATCTCCCCAGTTGTTTTCTCTCTCTTTAATAACTGTTAAATAATAGTTAATAGATGGCATCTAATAACCGCCATCATGGCACCATTCAAGCCATTCCTAAACTTCCCATCATGAATATTCAGTGCATACCTCATAACTAACAGGCATGATAATCTGATGGAAGGCAGCCAGATACTCAGAGTCTCCCATCCGGGAACAGTTCCAAGGCACATTAAGGGTGAAGCCTTCCCCGGGTCCCACACCCACTCGGTCATAATCTGCATCCTCAGAAGTGGGGAAGAAAGTGCCGTTGTCGTACCGATGGAGGGAGATGTATAAAACACTAGAAGGGAAGGGAAAGGTGATTAGAAAAAAGGGTGCGGAGGCAAAGGCCTTTCTCCTCCTAATCAGGATGCTTAAGAACTACAGGTCACAATTACATATTTTGGCTTCTCAGATTTGCTGGTTCTATTCTCCCTTCTTTCCCTTTCTCACTCTCATTAAAACCTTGAGCAACTCATAGGACAATGGCTTCAAGGAGTTGGAGGACAATGTCTGCCTTGTTTTGTCTTACTTTATCATATTATCTTGTCTATCTGTCTGTTTTATCTATCTATCAATTATCTATATCTCTATTATCTAAACTTACCTGCTCTCTGCTAGCAATGAAAAACTATTTTGGATTGTACATATGGCAGGGAGAAACAATATGGGACAGTTTGGGAATTAAACTAAATCATTCTAACATAGCACTGACTGATCTTCAGATGATACACTACTTCTCTTGCTAGGTATGTCTTGTGAACACAATCAGAGTCCAGATTGTTGTGTTAACAGGAGAATTGAACGTACAGCTTTTCCATATAGAAATCTATGGCTAGTTTCCATCCAAAAGTTACCTTTATTTCAACTGCCAAAGTTAAAAGCCAGAAGAGCAGAAGATCCTTTTTATTCGACAATAGGGTGCTAGAAACCCTTGTCAAATTTTTGCAATTTAATCCTCTCTTCCTGTTTGGAGACATGCCATCATGGTATGGCTACATTTCTGGAATTTTATAAGGAAGGAGGGAGGATTTTTCAGCCAAACAATTCTACAAGTATTTAAAACTAAAGAACGATGAGAAATCTCTTTTCAGTCTGAGCATGCCTCAAAATTAATGCAAAGCACCACAAGCGTGTTTAATTTTATCCTTCGTTTTAATTCGAGTGTGGGGGAAAATCTGTTCCAGGGTCCAATTTCCTTTCCCTGTTTTAATATACTTGTATTATTTCACGTCTCAAAAAAAGGGAAGCATTTTGATTATGAAACAGGGGTGAGCGGGAAGGAGTGCTACTGCAGAGTATTTTAAAATGTCCCCCTTTGGTAAAAAATGGTCTATAACAATGACCTCTAGCTGGGCATCTATCTCAAGGCCTGCAGGCCAGACCCAGCCCATGCTTAGATCTGGCCCGTGGGGCCGGTGGAAACAGCGAAGGACCGGCCTGCAGTGCCTCTGCCAGTGAAAACAGAGTTCAGTTCTATTTTAGTTGGCAAAGGGTTGCAGGAGGGCGGCACAGCTGAAAAAAGAGCTCAGGAGCCCATTTTCACTGGCAGAGGATTTCAGGAGGCTGGCGTAGCTAAAAACAGAGCTCAAGAGCCTGTTTTCACTGGCAAGAGAGTTTGGGCTGCACAGGCACCCCCAACACGAGTGATGTCGAGCTGGCCACCCCCCGCCCTGGCCACCCCCCCATCCCCTGCCGAGGTCAAACACAACCCTGATGCAGCTCTCAATGAAATCAAGTTTGACACCCCCGCCCTATTCTATAGGTTATAACATCACTATTTCTTCAAATGGGGAAAAATGATAGACAGCACCTGGGATCATCTTCAAATATGTGCTGTGTTCCATTGCCATGGTGAACATCCCAGTCTAGTATCATAACCCTGAGAAATAAAACCAAAATTAGATCAGTAAATTAAACTCCCTGGTTCAGTTCAGTTAAAATATACTGTTAACTGTTACGGAGCTCCCAGAATTACAATCCCCACTCCCAGGAGATCTCTTGGGGAACAAAATTAAAGGACTAAATCTGCTTTAATTAGTCAAACAAAACGCCATGTCCTTATTGAGTATATTCACCTCAACCGCCTCTGGGCCAGGCGCTGGGCATAGCGTGCTGCCAAAGCCACCGAATTGAAGAAGCAGAAGCCACAGGCAGTATCTGATTCCGCATGGTGTCCAGGCGGGCGGACAATGGCCACGGCATTTTGAGTCTAAGGACCCAGACAAAGAAACAACAGGGGATTGGCGCTGTATTGAAATTCAGGACAGTAATGAGAGCTCTGCAGAGAATTTCTACCAAGGTAAAAAAGTTCTATAGAACATGCTATAGAGCAGTGATCCCCAACCTTTCTTATGCCGCGGCCCGGTATCCCCAACCTTTTTTATGGCGCGGCCCGGTACCGGCATTAGCTGGGCGCCGCCATCTTTTTTTGATGAAAAAGTGCTTCCGGTGAGCTTTCTACCCGGAAAAGCTCACCGGAAGCACTTTTTCATCAAAAAAAGATGGCGGCGCCCAGCAAACCAGCGGCCCGGTAAGACTTGTTCCGCGGACCGGTACCGGTCCGCGGACCGGTGGTTGGGGACCCCTGCTATAGAGGCAGGCCTGTCCAAAGGCCCTAGGAAAGCAACTGGATAAAACGATATCATCTCCAGCAGATTGGCTGAATTAATTGCTGCTCACTCTCTGCCCTGGCATTTACCTTCCCAGACAACACAGCCTCTACTGCACTGAATGCGGACCCAGCTGCCAACCGGGCACACTGGTAGGAGCTGGCACAGATGTAGACAGAATTGTACTGGTCACCCTGGCGATGCAGGTCACGGGGTTTCATGGTGGCTGTGGACTTCAATGTCTCCACATAAGCCAGGCTGCAAAGAGGAGGAGGAGAAGAGGCAATGAAGAAAGCCTTTCTCAGCTGGACGCAGGTTAAGCAGGTTGGGCTTCTTCAACCCCTAAAGCCCTGTTAGCAGGTCTAGTTGTGGAGCTCAAACCCAACGCCTCTAAGAAGGCGTCTGGTTGGAGAACACTGTAATGTGGACTCCACTCCTTCCTTTATATTCAAAAAGAAGAAGAAGAAGAAGAATGTGAAGCTTCGGGCATTCACCGATAGGCATTGCTCCCAACCCTGCTTTGTGAGACCTCCCACTCCTCTCCCTGTGGTGGAAAAGGCTGCTGGAATGAAACTCATCGGAACCTGTGGCACATTTGTAGCTCTTCTTCAGAGGCAAGACGGGCTGGGAGCCGGCAACACCTTTCGGTCAGATGCAGCTCCCTGTGGCGTTGGAAGATCCTGGATACTCTCTGAGGCAACTCTGGATGTTGGCTACAAAAGAAAGGTAAGAAACCAAGAATGAGAGAAAGCCACGATTCCTAAGGAGCATTTTTATATGGGGGAATCCTCTTCCCTTCCAATGATCTTAAGGACAGAGTCACGCTAGATCTCAAATCTGCTTGGAGGCCTTGTGGCTGAATCGTTTGATAATATCATTTTATATTTTGGGTTTTCGGTGAAGATCTTAGAAAAGTGTAGCCCTTACAAGTCTGTGTTTCCAAAAACAATTAGAGGTTGCCTTGAAAGAAACTCAATCAGAAGCAGAGTTATCAACCAGGGTGGCTTAGGGGGGAACCGGTCCTCTATGTGTGTTCAAAAACATTCTCTTTACCAGCTGGTTCATGGGTTGTATTTTATTCTACTACACCAGCTGAAGCAAAACCACATGTAGGCATTATACATAGAGAGGGGATGGAAACATTCCTTTCAACAAACCTAAACTATATCTGAAATTCTTACCTGTCCCACATATTGTAATGCTCCATCATCTTCTCATCATAGACTAGCCCCGTGCAAGAAGGAGGCTGAGGCTGTATCCGTTCAGCCGCTGATCCGGAGAGGGGATCGGTTACAGAGAGAGAGCTGGCTGGTGGCCAAGCTATGCTCAGCTTGCCATCCTCTTGGGGCACATCAGCACCTGAATTGGGTGGAAGAAGCAGAGAAAGATTCCACGAGAGTCCTAAGCAGTCCTGATTGTCTAAGCAGTCAATTAGAGTGGAAAGGAATTAAGAATAAAAATGCCCTCTGGACTCCTTGCTTTTTAGGAATGGGGAAAAAAGAGCTACGTCCACTCACTGATCTTCCGTAGGTTCTTCCAGTACTTGCTATGAACTGCAACGGCCCGAGACACTGAGCTGAGAGCACTGACGGGAGGAAAAGAAGATGCTTTAATTAGACTTTAATTAGAGAAGGTTGGACTTGACCTAACACGTTGATTCTAAAAGCACCAGGCAGCAGGAAACTGTGGTTCAATGCTCAGGAGCCAATATCATTCTTACCTGCTACATGGGAAGACAGGGGATTCCATCAGCGGACAGGGATCTCCTAGAAGTGTCTTCAAAACCATGCAGGTTCCCTCTGCCAAAGACTGGAGGTTATACCCACCCTGTGACAGTGAAAGGAGAAGAGCTAGGGGTCTTCTTTAAGAGACAGCCCAACCCCAACCCCATCCCCAACCCAAAAGCGGAAAGTCACCCACCTCCAGAGATAAAACCAGTTTGCCTCCAGCCAGTGACTTTAACAGGTGTGTCAGGTGAGCAAAGCAAGCGGGGGTGGCATCCCCACCCCCCAGAGGGGGCAAAGATTGAACAATTTCCCCCCCCCCCCCCGACTTACTCTTGGAAAAGGGAGCAAGGCATGGCTCAGGGAGGGGATACATTAAATTAAATGGACAACCAAACCAAATAAAAACCAAGGCATTATTAGACAGATTACTTCTATTGCAGCAGGCTCCTGGAAGCATCTCTAAGGCTGTGACAAGAGAAATGGGAAGGAAAAAGGCCTTGTTCCTCAAGGTTGGTAGAACAGTTTCTGCATTGCCTAACTGAAGCCCTAGGGCTACAGAAAAAGATCTTAGGTCTGTCCTGGCCACTGGCACTCCCACACTTGGAAGTCCTCTTTCTAAGTCAGGTAAATCCAGCCCTCATTCTCAGTAAACCAGCTGTGGCTTCAGGGATGGCCTAAGGTGGACAGCCAGTCTACTTCATCAAATTATTCATCAAAGCTGTCATCGGTTACCATACCATACATAAAGTTAAAGGCATGACAAGACATAGAACCTCGTTTGACTCCTCTTACAACAACCTGGAGGCAGGGGTGGGATTCAAAATTTTTAACAACCTGTTCTGTGGGCGTGACTTGGGTGGTAGGCGTGGCTTGGTGGTCATGTGACTGGGTGGACATGGCTTGGTGGTCATGTTATTGGATGGGTGTGGCCAACTCAACATCACTCACATCGAGGCATGCATCTCCTCGCCTGGCCTCTCATGACTGTGGGGATGCTGCAACCGTGGTAAGTGTGAAAAATGGTCATAAGTCACTTTTTTCAGTGCCATTGTAACTGAATGGTCACTCCACACAAGCAAAGTAACAGCAAAGGAGGAAAAAAAAACCTCCAGAGACGTTCCTGAGACAGGAAGTCTAGTCCTGCCAAGAATGTAATAAGGGTTAACGGAGAGGCAGTTTCTGTAAGCAACACCAGAATGTTTCCTTCCTGCCTTCCTTACAGGATTAGGCCAGTAATTTCTTCTAACAACCGGTTCTCTGAACTGCTTAGAATGTTAACAACCGGTTCTGGCGAATAGGTGCGAACTGGTAGAATCCCACCCTTGCCTGGAGGTCTTACAAGCAGGACAGGGGGTTAAACATTATCAAACCTCTCCACTCTTCCAAAAATATTAGCGATTAATCATTCTTTCTTTTTCTTGCAGAATTGGTCAAGCATGTTTATCAAGAGGACAGTTTTGTTCTATTTTACAACCTTCCTTGCCACAGTTGTTAAGTGAATCACTGCAGTTGTGAAGTTAGTAACACAGTCGTTAAGTGAACCTGGCTTTCCCATTGACTTTGCTTGTCAGAAGGTTGTAAAAAGTGATCACATGACCCAGGGACGTTGCAACTGTCATAAATAGGAGCCAGTTGCCAAACATCTCAATTTTGATCATTTGACCACATGGATACTGCAACAGCCCTAAGTGTGAAAAACAGTCATAAGTCGCTTTTTTCAGTGCCGTTGCAGCCTCGAATAATCACTAAGTCAGCTGTTGTAAGTTGAAGACAACCTGTACTTGCCTCCTGACACCTAATGCAAGTACATAAGCTGTGGCAGGTATGTGAGTTGCCACTGAATTGCAATTTTAATATGACATAAGGGAATGTATGAAAAACCCCAAGAATAGTCAAATAATGACTGAATTATTTTTTATTGAATTTCAATTTACATTAGTGTCTGCTCACTTCTTGCCTAGTCTATTTCTTTAGCCTAGAGCAGTGATGGCGAACCTTTTTGTTGTGGTGTGCCGAAAGCGTGCCCGTGGGCAAGAGTGCATGTGCTGGCACCCACAATGCAATGTGCCCTGTCCCCCCTGCGCATGCGCGCGCAACAGCCCCCCTTTACCTGCACTGGAAGCGACAAAACAGGCCCGTTTTTCAGCCTCCAAAGGCTGCAGAGGCTTCCCTGGAGCCCCCGAGATGGCAAAAATGGCCTCCCCTGGGCTCCAGAGGCCCTCTGGAGGCTGAAAACGGGCACTTCCGTTATTTCCAGAAGGCCCGTTTTTCAGCCTCCCGAGGCTGCAGAGGCTTCCCTCAAGCTTTCGGGAGGGCGAAAATGGCCTCAAATGGGCTGAAAATCAGCTGGGAGGCACGCACATGCGCAGTGCAGGTAAGTTTGGCTGGGGCTCGCGTGCCCGTGTTAGGGATAACATTGGTTACCTAACTTAGTTTGGATAAAATAATATATAAACTATGTTAGTTAGTTTAAGTGTATGTATCACTTTAAACTGTAAACCAAGTTTTTGGGTGCGGTTGTAAAATCACCATACGAGGGAGCAAGAGAGCTCACTGTTTCCTCGGCTTTTACTGGAATGCTGACAATGAAGGATTGATGGTGATAAACTGCGTGTTTGCTGAGAAGAAAAAAGGGGTTTGGTTTTTCTTCATATCTCTGACTGCAAAAGAGATATATCACTGGACTGATTGATTGTAAGTTTACTGACTTCTTTTTCGACACTGGACTTTGCAAACTGAATAACCCCCGGACTGACTGAACTTAGTGTATGACATATGGACTGTTTTGACTACGCTATAACTCTTGCTGGAATAAAAACTATTTAACTTGCACAGTGTATCTGTCTTACTGAGTGTAAGCTACAACAACGTTTTTATCTCACACATATCTGCCTGTCTGCTAGACTGCCGTTGCACGTTCTGCTAGGGTGTATATCCCTAACAGCCCGCACAAATGGCTCTGCGTTTCACCTGTGGCACGCGTGCCATAGGTTCGCCATCATGGCCCTAGAGCTCCACGGTAACTGGTTCCCAAAAAGTTTGCCTATCTCTGCTCCAGAACGTAATTGTGACTTTAATCTAGGGTACCAGGAAGAAAATAATTGCAACGTCTAAAAATTGCTGAGAAATGCTCTGGGGGGGAGCAAAAAAAAAAAAAAAAAGCCATCTTACCTTAGGGTCACCAATTACAGCATCAAAACCTGCAGCAACCAGGACCATATGGGGTTGGAACTGCAACAAAGTACAGTAAGAGCCAGAATAAAATATCCAATTGGGAAGCCAAGGGAACAAATACTAGGAAATTCCCAGAGTTCAAGAACAAGACCAGAGAGTAGCTCTATGCTAAGGATTGTTTGTTTTGGGATACTTCTATATAGAACAATTCTCACTGGGATGCCACTTTATTTTTGTATTATGACATGACAGAGAATGAAGCTGCTTTAGAGGACTGCGGTGGAGAGGGGAGAAGGAAAAAGGGGAGGGAAAAATGCTGACTTCACCCAATTTCTGCTCCATGAAGCAGGAAGAAAATTTTGCAAAGGATTTGGGTAGACCATAAAACTCAAATAGATGACAATGACACCCCCAAATTTACGCAGGCTGTAAAGAAGCTGTCAGCCGGAAGAACAGAACGGTACAAAAAAGAGATTTTAAACTGAAGTTGCATGGGCATCTGTCAAAGATTTTTGGATCCTGCACTTGAGTAGAAGGCTGGATTGGATGGCTAGATACATTCCATCTCTATGATTCTACACATTTCACACAAACAATTCCTAATGCTGCACAATTCCACCTGTGTTTCAATTAAAGTAGAAGACCAGGCCTTTTTTAAAATTAAATTTCTACACCACCCACCTCATCTAAGTGACTCTGGGTGGCTTGAAACAACCGACTGTTTGAGATAGTTTGCTTCTTATGTAGCAAGAAAAAGAGGAAGGCATGATAGTCAAGACCAGCTCTTGAATATATTGTATTGATAATGTTAAATAGCATGTCATCTAACAAAGGATTAAAAAAATGCTTCTGTCAGCATTTCCTACTGTATGATCCTGGATTACAACAAGCTGTTTATGATCCTGGACTACTTTTTTGGACAATTATAACTATACAAATAAAAAAACGAACCAAGAAATAGATTCGATTGTCCATACTTTCAAAATGCTGTATGCCTCATGGCTTACCTCTAAGGCCACCGGTAGCAGGACATGTAAAAAGGCAGAGAGGTAGTCAGCATCCCTCATTCCTGTCTAAAGGGATAGAAATAAAGGAGTTTAAAGCAACACATATGCACACATACAGCATGGTCATTTTATCTAAGACAGCAGCTACTGTTGATGTAACCTAGGAACAGTAAGGAAGGTCATAAACTTGGATAGATCTGATATTAAGTACGCTAAAAGAAATCATATTTGTTCTGACATAGTGTGATGTGTGCATCCATCTTAAGAAAGAAACCAAGCTGTAATCTGTAGTCATGGTTGGTAATAGGTTTCTGAATCTGAGCTCATTTCTAGATTTTAAAACACAGGGGATGGATTCATGAACTACACCAGAAGGGGCAAACTCTTGTTGTCGCATTGTCATCACGTGACGTATTGCGACTTTCCCCCCCCTTCGCTAAAACAGGGGTGGGTGTGGCCAGCGTGTGACGCATCTAGCCCGCGGACCGTGAGTTTGACACCCCTGAACTACACTAAGCCACAACCCAGTATGCTAAATCACAAGGTAAGTGTTCTGAGGTTGGTTTACCACGATGAAAAAGCACACTGTACTTGTGAATGGAAAACTTGATAGTTTACTATTCAGTGTGAACCCACCCAATTGAGACTTATTCAAGAACTCCAAGAACAGGGTTTGGAGCGATATGTGAACTTGGTTTATTAGCTGTAAGAAGCAGAGCAGCACTGGGAGCCTATACTAACAGGTCCTCATACCAGTGGCTACTGCAAAGGGAAAATGCCAAGCAACTGGAACGGATGGAGAGACCGTTCTAATCTGAAGCCTGTCTCACCCCCTAAAAAAAACTACATCAGAATTTGAACTTAGATCCATATACAACTTGGATTCCCTCTTGTAGCTAGGCTACTATATATACAAGCAAAATTAGGGATCTGCCTATTTGTAAAAGATGTTCAGCTCCCCCCACTTTTGGCCCCAGCAGTCAGGAGAGTCATTTGAGATACTGAAACCATAATAGGTAACTAGCCAAATGGCTCTATTTGCCATATTTGAGAGCAACTGCTCTCAAAACAACAACAACAACAAAAAACAGGGCAACATGCAAGCAATTTTAGTCAGAATGGAGAACTGCCAAATGATCATTCCCGGGAAACTCAGCCTACCATGTCCCTACCCCCTGGGAAGAGTCCCTACTCTTCCCTACCTGGTTCCAGGGCACGTTGATGTTGTATCCCTCTCCCCGACCTCTGCCCACTGCGTGACTGTCAGATTCTGGAAGGTGGGGCCAGAAATTCCCTCCTTCGTAGCGATGGATGGAGAAATAAAGGATGCTAGGAAAAGCAGTCACGGCAGATTCAGCAGTGAAGAGAAACAAAGCCACTAGCCAAGTCCCAGCCCTCCGAACCCAATCTGGGTGCAGCCTCCATTTAACCCCAAACGGATTTGCTCTGCTTTTGCCAGCTTTCCTCATCCACTATAGAATGTCCCAAGTTCTCCAGTTAAATAAAGCTCATCCCTTGATTAGGCACCTGGGATTCTCCTCAAAGAGATCTTGAAGGCCTTGCCCATGGTGCACATCCCAGTCAACGATCAGCACCCTGGAAGAGAAAGAAATGCAAACGTAATGTATGAAAAAGGAAATACATGAAAGGTAGCATCTGAAAAAGTAAGCTAGCATCAATCCTGTTGCCAGCATCTCTTCAAGGAGTCATGGAAACTGTAGTCCTAGGGTGGGTTGGGAGACATCTCAGCTTCCTCACTAAACTCTGCCAAAGAGTTTCCTCATAAAAGCAGTGATATTGTCATGACCACTGACACAAGCATTGTGTCTAAGTTCTAGGGGCAGTAACAGAACAGAAATGATTGTTTAGTAAATGTTCAATGGAAGACCAAAATGGATTGCAACTGGGTATTAAGACACATCCTCCAAAAATTGAGGTGTGTGGAATGACTAAGACCAGTTGTTCAAATATCTAACACTTTGTACTTGTATTCAGCACCTTGGCTTATCCTCAATCAATCAATCAACCAACGTAATGTAGAGGAATGGAAGGTCAAAGAACGTTGGCTCATGCTTGTGGCAAACTGTCCAACAACCAGCCTTAACTGTTACCTCTCCTCTTCATAGGTACTCACCGCTCCACCCCCAATTTTTGTCGGGCATATTGTGCTGCAATGCCTATGTTGTTGAACATGCAGTAGCCATTCATCTTGTTGCAGTGGGCATGGTGTCCAGGAGGCCTGAAACCCAAAAGACACAGTGGCGCAATTTAGAGCTAGAAAATCAAAGCCCAGCCATCGAGGAAAAAAGAGTGCCTAAATGTTAATGTAACTACAGTGCAAATTTTCAATTGCATTTTGAATCTTCTGCTCTAAATGATAAAGAAAGCATGCTTGGGCTACCTTTTCCATGTGCCTTCAAGGACATGAAGTTCAAAAAGAGTGAGGAGTCACTCTGGCTACTTTCATATAAGGTTCTTACAATACTGTGTAAGTGAAAATGTTCATATGAAAAAAAAATACATACATTAAGATCTGACTTATTTTTGATTCAATCATCATTTTTCTCACATCCTCTCACCTTTTCATTAAGAGAGGAAGACAGCAACACAATGCTTTGGGTTGTTAATTCTAAGATGGGTGAATTCCATCACTTATTTTCTTTCTGGATCGGCTGGACTATCATGTGCATCCTCCAAAAACAAGCACATGTATACACACAAAGTCAAGACACTGACAATTCTGCCTTTACAGGTAGTCCTCCACTTACAACCACAACTGGGCCCAGAATCTCGGCTGTTGAGTGAAGTGGTCACTGAGATGCCACATAACCACTTTGCTTAACAACCACAATTCCAGCTCTCCCTGCTACAGTCATTAAGCATCCCCTCCAAAGGGGAAAATGCTAGCAAATGCCAGTGCTGTGAACTTTTCAGAATGCTGGCATATGCTGACTCTGTAAACCGCTTAGAGAGGGCTGTAAAGCACTATAAAGCGGCATTTAAGTCTAAGTGCTATTGCTATTCAGTAGCATTTTCATCAGATTTTAGGACCATTCCTCAGGCATATGGGAGGATTTCCCCTCTCCTGGATGGAAGGGGAAATCCTTGGCTTGCTGGGTGGAATTAACCTCAAATCCAACACCCGTTCCATTTGCAACCTTCTCTGTCAGCTTCCCGGCTGACTTTCTGGGCAAGCAAGCAGAGAACATTGCAAATGATAATTACATGATCGCAAAGCACTTAACAATCACTCATAAACGTGAATATGTTACCAAGTATCTGAAATGGGGTTATGTGATCAGAGGGGCAGAAACACAATATTTTACAACGGCTAGAAGTGCTTTACATTCTGATGCTGTGGTGAACGGTAAATGGTTGTTAAATGATCAGTTTGTAAGTCAAAGACTACCTAAACTGGGTTATCCACTAGGAATACTGCCCTAATTTTTCTCTTCCCGTTGCTTTACTGTAGTTTTACCCTGCTGTTGTTTAATGCAACCTTCCCTGTGTGATGCCCTCTAGATGTGAACCGGATCCCAGAATCCCTAGCCAATATGGTCAACCAGATTCTAAGAGTTAAATCCACTGGAAGGCAGCGGATTAGAAAGTATGTTTTGTAGATAAGGGAAATATCTTCTCTACTGGCTAATGGGCAAGAAATAAAAAGATAACAAATACAAGTTATATTTCTGGACTTGTTGTGTACACAAACCGCTGTGAGAATGTGCCCCTTTCCCTTACTGCCAAGGGAGCTATCAAATGGTAAATATACCACCTGACAGGCATGGCAAGGGGCACTGCGTTACTGTTTTGAGTCAAGCAAAAATGAAAATAATAATCTCTATTTGCACCTTACCTGACCACTGCCAGCCCATTACGGAGTTCTCCAGACCACACTTTCTCCACAAGTTGCAAAACAGAACCAGCAGCAAGGCAGGCACAGCGGTAGAAATTCTTTGGCAGGAATTGAAAATCAGGTTAGCAAACCCTACCATAGCACCAGGGTTTCTCCTGATGCTGATGAACAGATGGAACTCCAGAATCCCACTAAATTGCTTGCTCTTAGTTCCACCACCCTCCTCAGAAAAAGCAAAACAGGACAGAGATAGATGTGTTCATCTGGAGGTGCAAAGAAAAAAAACAACAACCCAAGAAGCCCTGAATCCAGTAGCAAGTTATATTTAATAATGTATAATTAGCTATGGATGAAATTATAGGATGGGAATAATTTCTTGTTCCACCTACTATACTAATTTTTTTTTATTCTAGAAATGGGTTTTAAACACACTCCTTCCCTTTTTAAATAACGTCAGAGGAAAAATTCTCTAGAATGGAGAACTTTATTTACAAGGATCAGAAATACATAGCAATGGAGAGAAAAAAATGTAAGATATGGAAAACCTCACAATATCATTTCTATTTTTCCCTGTTCCTAGATCTCCCTTCCCCAAAACCGTAATGCCTTATTTCTGTAAAATTTCACCCCATGTGCCCATTTCTCCAAGAATCCTCCATAAGAAGATGCCAGAACATGACTGTAACACATTGTTCCATCAGATGGGCTGCTTTGCAAAGTATTTATACAGTATAAATTACACCCATCGCCTTGGTTTTGCCCCTTGGATACTAGGCAAGCATATGTGTAACACAGCCTTAGAATGAGCGGCATTCCCCCATTCAGTTCTGCTTGCAGTTCAGAAAAAAAAAATCACTAGAAGTTTCCAAAGTATAGCTTGCCAACTCTGCACCAAGCACTTTAGTTACAAAAGGTAGACGTTTCTGCCTTTAATCCTAACTCTGAGGATACTCACTGGATGCAGGTAAACAGAATCAAAGGTGTCCGCCAGAGACCTTAACTCAGTCTCACTCATTGTTTCAGTCGATTTCATGAGGGTCAAGTATTCTTGACTGTTAAGAAAGAGATATTCACATGGTCAGATGCAGCTCAGTCACTGCCTCCCCAGCCCTCAGCTCGGCCACAACTCCAAGATTTGCTTTCACCTGTGAGCCAAGAGGATCTCTTCCTCAGAAATGTCTCGGCCCTGAAAGGAGAGAAAAAAAATAAAAAACATTTCATTCTCTACTGATTGCTAACCACACGTTCATTCCCTGACTTCTTCAAGAACCTCAGGACATGGCATAGATGTCTAACTCATCCCTCCCCAAACACTGATTCTCTAATCTGTGGTGGGAAACTTTTGGATGGTTGGGGGCAGCCCTTAATGGTTTGAGGAGACCAGACTAGGTGGGCTCTGACGATTCAGAGGCAACTGGGGGCAACTTTTCCCGTGGGTTTTTTTTGGGGTGGGGTAGAGGAGAGATCAGGCTAAGGTTTTGCTAGATAGTAAATTTAATTTATTTATTTATTTAAAAGGCCTTATCTGTTAGGGGGCAAGGGTCTTCAAACTTGGCAAGTTTAAGACTTGTGGACTTCAACTCCCAGAATTCCTGAGCTAACATGACTGAAAGAGGAATTCTGGGAGTTGAAGTCCACAAGTCTTAAAGCTGTCAAGTTTGAAGACCCCTGTGTTAGGGGAACCAGGCTATTTTTATGCTTCCCACCTCAGAATAAAGACAGAAATGGAGCTTAAAAAAAAAGAGTTGGGTAGAGCAGCAAGTTGCCTACTTCTACTCTAACTACTGCATCACTGCAATGTATCCTGAACCTGTCCACAGATTCTTGCTTCTTCTCATCTGCCCCCTCTCTTACCATCACTGGGACACAACGTTCCAACAGTTCATACTGAAGCAATTTGTCCCTAATGGTCACCAGTCGCTCTGGGCATTCTGGGAAACTAGAAAAAAAAGACAACAAAGGGCACATGTAGAGACAGATCAACATCTCATTAACTTGGGAGGCGAGTAATGGAGTTGAGATGGTTTGGAGAAGAAACAAGGGTGGGCTGGCAATCTTTCTCCAGAACCCATTCTTTATCTGGATAATTCAGGAATGCAGCAAAACAAGCAAAAAGGGAGGAAGAGGGAAGTGTGAACAATGGTTGCAGTGGGAGAATGGCAGAGAGCTTTTAAACCATTGTAATCAGTATCATCATGACAGGTGGAGCAGGGTGAGAGCAGGAGGAAATAAAGTGCAAGGGAAGATAGTAGGGCTACAAAAGTTAGTGCTAGGAAGCAGAGGCCACATTCGGGAAATAATCTGGAAATGCTTGTGAGAGCAAAGTCCTTTGAATCTGCATAACCGAGATAGTGCAAAAGATGATAATTTACAGAGGATCTGGAAATTCGCACACATAGGGCTGAATTTTCTACACTGAAAGAGTTTCCAGACCTTATGGTGAAGGTGCAGTTTTGGGAATGCCCTGAAGCCAAGTATGTAGCTATTTCTTTATGACTTCCACTGGTAAGACCTTATGCCCACTTGGCTGAGAAGCTAGCTCTGCGCTTTTCACCCTTCTCTCTCTCAAAATAACTAAAAAACCTAATAGAATCAGGTCCATCCGCTGCTCATGCAGCACTTACATCAACACAGTTTCCTTCAGAGGCAGAAGAACAAGACAGCTCAGAGTTTCCAGGCAGTTCACTGGAGGCAATGTTGAACAATCCTAGCAGAATAATCCTGACAATGCTGAAGGACAACATATTGGGAGAAACTGCTCTGTAGAATTTCAGCGTTCTTGTCAAGCACAACCACGGACATTTGATTTGTTAAAACATCTGTAAAAACTCCCTCCTAAAATGGACCTAGCTAGGCATATTTTCAAAGTGTGATCCAAACAACATGCAAAATCTGCTGTAGCCTTTGAATCGACAGAAGTTGTGTGTGCCTATTATAGCTGTTATGAAGCAAGGACATTATTTATTTATTTAGAAAATTTATATTACCGCCTACTCGCACATGGCGACTCAAGATGGCTTACAAGGACACAAAAACACGATATTAAAAAAAAAGAAAAATAATAAAATAATACGCATTAGCTAAGCAATGCGAAGCAATACTGACAGACTCTTCATATATTGATAGTGCTGTCTTTTTTAGATTCTCCATGGAAATAACATTTTGGAACTAGGCATGAAATCAAAAGACTTATACTGCTAAAAAAAAAATCATTAAACAAAACTGAACTCACTAAGCCAAAACTAAAATCTAACCTCACTGACTGCAATAGGAATAATTCCTGCTACATCTGCTAGGAGTGGAAGACACCTCATGTTTAGCCAACAATTCTCCATGGGCCATATGGCAATTTTAATGTGCGCCTTTCCAATCCATAAGTGGACAGAAAAGTATGCCAGCATAATTTGGGCTGTGCCAATTGCCAAGCAATAATCTGTGTCAGTAATAAATCTGGTGAATAATCCTGCCCTCAGGGTTTTATTGGAGGAGAATTTAAGGACAATGATTGATGGATTTCCTGGCCATGTTTCCTCCCACTACACCCAACTGGTAGGACAAAACACCACGAGTCTACTTAATGGGAACTGAGCCTGGGTGACCATGGGCGGTAGCTTGGGACGGAGGTTTTAACCACCTTTCATACTGTCCATTTCCCCAATGCCTGTCACGGATGTGCCCACCTCAGTAACCCCGTCACTCAGGTGGTTTGTTAATATGGTCTGCTGGTCTTAACATATGCCCCACAGGTAGCCTTGTGGCATGAAAGAAGGATGTGAAGTGGAAGAAGGGAGGGAACTCATAAAAGCTCTCCTCTACTTCATCCCAGGGGCATCCTCCTTCTCCCAAGCCTGTTTATCAACCTGTTTTTTTTAAATGTATTTTTAATCAGTCTTCTAGAAAGCCAGTAGATCTAAGCTCAGACATAAATTGGGCAAGAGGTCATAGGTATAGGAGAGGAGCTGGAAGAGGTATATGGATGCACATCCTTCCTTTTGCCTCACCCTGCACCTAAAAAGAGACACTGACAGAATTCTTATTAATTTCATGTTACTATCCAAATGTCCCAAATCAGCTAAGTGCTGGCAATGCTGACAGGAAATAATTGCAAACTGAGAAGTATCTTAAAAGTTCACTCAATGTCACTGGAGTAGGTAACTGGTACCTACTATTCAAAGTAATAAAAGAAATAAGAAGTATGGCCACACAAAAGTTTTTGTCTCTCACTGGGAAACCTGTAATGTACTCATGTGGTTCAGAATCAGACGCACGGCTGATAGCCAAGCTCACTTCTCTGATTAAAATCAACCTTGCAGCAGAACACATTTGTTCTATTTTTTTAAAAAAAGGTTTGCTGATCTTTCAAAAGATCAGTAAAAATGTATTTTGTTTTTTAAAGAAAAATCTGTCGTTCTTCCAGAAGAACACTAGCCTATGTTGATGTGTCATGAAGCACTGGTCAAACATGAAGGATGCTACATGGGGCGGCAAAAGAGAGCTAGATAGTTCTCAGCCTCCGATCATATCACCTCAAACACACAAAATGAGGCAGTGCAGAATGTCTGTATGGTAATATTTATGTCAGGATAGAAAGAAAAACACTATTTTAAAATCAAAACAGTTAAATATGAACGTTAGCTATCCCCACAGGTGACTAAGATAAGCATCTTTATGCTGAAATTAGGAACATGAATGAGTCCTCTCTTGTATGCCCGAAGCAGATCTTTTAGAAATATTTCTAGACCTTGTCAAAATCAGTTCTTCCTAAACTGATGCTCACAAATATTTTGACTAACTCTCCTCCTCCTCCTCAGCATCTGGTGAAAGCTGACTGGGAAATAATGGAAGCTGTCCAATACACCGGGGGGCAGTTTGAAAAGGGCTGTTATGGGGCTTGTAAATGTAAATCGCAAATTCACTGATATTACGAGGAAAGAGAAAGAATGATTTAGAGCTGTACAGACTGGAAATGAAGAGTCAACTGTTATTGCAAACACAGAAGTGCTGACATAGTGTTCTCACAAATTTAGGACACCTATATATAGAAGAGAACTTTTAAAAGGTTATTAACTCCTTTCCTATTCTAGTGGAGATAGCCATTTTCTAGAAGCATGGAAATTATCTTCATTGTTTATACTTTGGGCCTATTCAACTTGCAAAGGACAAAATAAAACCTGAAGTAGTATATTATTTTAAAAATCATTAATCCCTTTGCTTTGTTGATTTTGCAAAAGGACTCCAATATCATCAGAATGGAATAGACATCACTTTCACAAGTTAACCCCTATGCTTCTCTAATGCTTTCATAACCTCTTCTTCTAGGTAGAATCTACTCATTTTATATAATGTGGTTAGGAAAAGATGCTATAAGTAGGCACCTATAGCATCTTTTCCTAGCCGCATTATATAAAATGAGTACATTCTACCTAGAAGAAGAGGTTATGAAAGCATTCTAGAGATGCACCAGGTGGAGACCTAGGAAGGGCATTTTCAGTGGTAGCTCCTGACTTTTGCTTATCCCTTGAGCTCCAACTAGTTCTCACCCTATCATCATTTAGGAAACAAATTGAAGCCATCCTCTTCTGTGGACATTTGGGAACTGACGTGTAATGGAAGATAGCAGTAAATATTTTAAGATTTTAACATTTTAAATATCAGCCCTTCTAGATAGTCCAGATAGGAAGCCAATGCTGTGAGTTCGAACACTACATTTATTGCAAAAAATAAGTGTGAAAGCACATTTTTCTCCTCCTCACCTTTACAGTCAAAGAAACCAGGGAGAATCTCTTCTGAGACACTTATCATGTTCCCATTTCTTCTGTAGGCTTATCTGACCTTTCTCCTGGCTTTGGTTTTTCCTTCTCCTGTCTTTCAAGGACATTCCCACAGACCATTACATCAATCAATATTAAATTTATGGATGTTTTCAAGGTGACTGGTTGTAAGCCACAAATAATCATTCAAATACACAGCATATTGTGACTAATCAATCTCTCTCTTGTTGCCCATCCAGAGTGAGTTTCTTCTGCTTCGTATGTTCCCCATACTACTATTAAATTAGAAAGGGCAAAATGGATAGGACGTGTATAGAAAAGTTAGATTCTGAGTCTACTTAAGTATATCTAATCCTGTTAGATATACTTAAGTAGACTCAGATGAAAGTGGATAAGATCCAATGAGAGATTAATATGAAGTGAATTCATTGGGGCTCCCTTTTACATAACAGTCATTAGGACTCCCATCAGCATTACCCAATGGCATTTCTTTCTCCAAATTTAAGGATGATTGCATTCAGCAAAGAAGATTATTATTTTAAGATGGAAACTTCACAATGAACAAGGATCAAGGGTGTAGCGCTGCTATTTAGGGCTGGAGATGAAGAATCTGATGAGGAATCAAGGAAGAAATAAAAGGATTATGGTCATCATATCCAGGGAATTACACTGAGATTACACAGAAAAGTGAGCCAAGTGGGTGGAATAAACACACACACCACAGAGTTACAGGCAGCACAAAGGGAAATAAGAACAGAATTATATATTTACCCACATCCAAACCAAGGTTACTCTTCCTCCCTCTGCCAGGAAAAAAAATCAGTGGTTTGGAATGATGAAACATATTCACTTCAGACTTTAATACTGCTGTCAATTGATTACAAAAAGGAAAAGCAGTCCAGCAGGGACACAGACTATTGCATCCTCACATTTCCTGCATTGTGATTTTATACAAGAACCTTTCTTTCATCCTATTTTCTTATAAAATCCAGAGTATTCATCATAATAAGGCAGGTCCTTACTGTAAAGTGAGTGAACCCAGACATCATCAAAACTGAGGACACGCTTTCTGGAAGTGCACTCACATACCAGCAATCCTTGGGTTATGACGACAAACAATTGAGACCAGGATTGCCATCACTATGGAATGCAGTCTTAAAGCCTAAGATGTGCTTTACTTCCCCAAGATATGCAGCTCATTAATTAGGAAGAGACAGAAGTCTCAGGTAAGCAGTGACAGTGTTTGGCAAGGGGGTGGGGGAAACTGGGGGATGGCCTGGGACAGCTGGCAAGAGGCTGTGCATGGATTGGGCGGGACTGGAGGAGATTGGTGCAGGAGGGAGAAAAGGTGAGAGTGACTTACCTGAGCAACCTCTCACTTTCCCTGCTGGCTTTCCCACTTACTTTGTGAAAAGCCAGCAGGGAAGGTTGCAAATGATGATAATATGAATGCAGCTCTCTAATTGCAAACAAGACACCTGAGCTCTCAAGATTGCAATCACATGACTGTGGGGATGCTGCAATGTCAGGAGCGTCAAGAATTGGTTGTACATCCATTTTTTTCAATGTCATCATAACTTTGAACAGTTGCTCAATGAAATAAGCCAAGGATTACCTGTACAAAGTAAGCCAAGGATTACCTGTACAGTATTTTGGTCAGGTACACAATTGTGTTTCCAAGACAGAATATTGAGGAGGAGGAAGAGGGAAATCTACAATCATTTGTAGCATTTCAAAGGATTTATTAAACATTCTCTAATTCAGCTCTCTAATCTTGAGAAATCTATCTCCTATCCATATCCTTTGATTATCTCTCTATTTAGAAGAGAGTTCCACTGCTTTCATGGAGCACTATATGGCAGAAATCACCAACTCTGGAAGTTTATAGACACCTTTCAATATCTAAACAGATACCCAAGGCAATCACAAAATGAGTTCAGCAATACAAGAATGAGATATTGGTTTTGGCAAGGGAAGCCCCACCCACCCCATTCCAATAACTAGAGAAAAGTATCTCCATTCTCTAAATGGAGGGAATCCTCCCTTTACAAAAAGATCCTTGAGGGAGGAATTATGTCCTCTGCAACCACTTTTCACCACTGTTATTGGTTTTTATTTTTCAAACCAAATAAAATAAGATAATGCTCCGTTCAGTACAAGAGTCATAGGAAGGTATTATAGCTACAAGCACCATGTTGGTATCACCATTTGAGGTAAACCAGCTGTGGGGGAAATCAATTTTTAGTTGAATGGAATGGGCTAAATCAAATTGATAAATAGAGATATAAGGATTTTGGCTTTGAACCACAGCCTGTTCTCTTATTCAAACAATTCCAAATTGATTTGATTTGTCCTTAAAGTCGAAATGGGAGATGTTTTCCTTTTGGCATATGGCATTCCCAAACTGCCTCATCTTGATTTATGGGAGAAGCTTTCCTCTCATTTCATTGTTTTATTCCTCTCTCCTCTTATTTTATTGCTTTGTTCCTCCTCCTCACTTTATTGAAGGTAAACAGGCACAGGAAGTAACCTGCAATCCATTAATTATAAATATGTATGATTATCTTATCTGTTGCTTATGCATTAAATTATCCCTCCTTTCTGAGATGTATATATAAGTGGGTCCCTCTGTCGGCTGGCATCTTTCTCAATATTCTTTAGAGAGAGTCCCACCAAAACATATTGCTTAATAAACCCTGCAGTGACCATTGTATTTGCTTTGGGTTTTGTGTTGAAATCCACACAGGTCAGAAGTTAGCTGCCATAAAATTACTGAAACTTTACTTTGTTGTTACAGTATATTATAATAAAATCCTGAAATATTGACAGTTTCCCTATCTTTCCCTCTTATACTAAAGACAGTCAAGGTGGGACAATCTGGATTTCTTTTTTCCTCAACCCCTCCTGTTTTTCCAGGCTGATGCCTTCATAACAGCTGTCATATACCTCTTCAAGGTCATTTTCATATTCCTCTACTGTAGAGGACTCTTGCTATATTAGGGTATCTAAGGCAGTGGTTCCCAACCATGTCCTTCATGTTTAGCAATACTGTATATCATAACTGAAATTTTTTTCTAAGTCATCATGCAAATCAAGAATCAGAAAGACACCACCACAGTGCATGTCCAAAGGCCCCACTCCTTAAATACTTCATTTTAAAATGTTTTAAAATGACTAAATTCAATGAAATCTTGATTTTCCCACAAAATACCATATAAGAATTTTGGTGAAAACATCATATTTTTCAAGGTTTTGAGTGAGATTTCAGAATCTCACAAAATATTAGCTACTATAATATATATTTTTATTTTGGCATGTACAGCGTGGGTTAGCCGAAGTAACGGCAGAAGTTGAAGGAAAGTACTATGACTTGAAAGGCAATGGTAGAAGTGAGGCTGACTCTGCAAAGTGAGTTTTTAGTGAGTTTTTAGGCATGTTTACTACAAATTATATTAGGTTTTCTGGAAAAAACAACAGAATAGAACAGAAAAACTAGGACTAAATATATGATTCAGAGAAACTACAAGGGCTGGAGGCAGTGATTAAAACTAGGACAATATTTGGTCCCTGGCCAGTCATTTGGTAAGGATTACATGTTACACAACTGGTTCAAGATAAACCTAAACCAAGGAAGACAACTTGATATTCTGATATTGGATTATATAGTTCCATTGGTTATGCTGGTTGAGGCAGATGGGACAGGATGTGTGATTCCTGGCTGAACTACCAATCCTTCATTAATTTGTCTACTAATACTTGTTTAAAAGCAGCCAGCTGCACTTCATGAAGATTCTTGATGAAATATTATATATTATGCAAGCAATTCATTTTATTTTTAATCTCTGGGATAGATACTGTTGAGATTTTCATCTACCCCACACCAAGGACTCAGAGTAACTTACAAATTAAAATACCCACTATTCTTAAGAAATTTTCACTGAAAAAGTATCAAGATTATATAATGAGTGGTTTATTATAATAGAGCAGAAATGAAAGGCAGATAAAGTCTTTTAGGATTAAGTGCACGCAAAACTGAGATTAAGAGACAGTAAATTTGAAAAAAACAACAACTGAAAATTAAGAGACCTCAAAATTAAACCAATAGAACTGTTACACTTAAGGCTCAAAAAAACCCATCCTTTCACCCTAGATACCTTTCATCCCATGGGCAGCAAAATTCTGTCATTCGGTTATCCCAAATCAGTCCAGTTCCTAACGGAGCAGCACATTCTGAAGTAAGATCCTATTTAAAAAAGAACAACACAAAACAGTGGTGCATGCAGAAAAAAACATTCTAATCCTAACCCTCACCAATAAAGCCATTCTTTAATACTCTCTCATTCTTGGACCAAAATTAGATATGATATAAACTCCTCTATTAGCTCTTCCTAACCTGACATTCTCCAAATATGTTGGACGAAATGCTAGTTTAATACTTTCTGGTGGAGAGAAGTTCCCTAAGGATGGGCTCCAGCCTGAGTCCAAAAACTCAGAAGAGTAAACTCTGGGTCCCAGTGACCCAGCCAGATTGAATCTTGCAACATTATCCCGGGACACGTATATTTGCCTTCATTTGCAATAGGTTAAATTCAATACATTCAGGGAAAAATTATGTGAAAATGACAATATATGTGTAGAAGTGGGTAAATTATTATTATGGATGGTTGCACAGTCAGACAGATGTTTAGACTGGATTTGGCATTTTCATCCACCTAGTGAGTCCTTCTCAAAGATATGAGACAGGCAGGTGTTATTGCTTCATGGTGTTAAAGGTATCATTGCAAGATGAAGCTATTCCAAGTCAAGCTGCCTTTGCAATTGACTGGTGGTGATTTTGTCAATGGTGATGGTGTTCAAAGGGTACTGCAGGGGTTTTGGGATTGCACCCAGTAAAAATACCTACTATTATTGGTACTATCTCTGCTTTCTATTGCCACAGTAGTTCTATTTCTTTATACAGGTCTTTATATTTTGTGATTTTTCTCCAGTTCTTATAAATAATATTAATATAATTAACTAATATTAATCAATATTATTATTGAAGTTTGTCATGGTCAGCCAGATGTTTAGATTGGAATTTGCATTTTTATTCATCTATCAAGTCCTTTCTAAGGATCTGGGGTGGGCAGATGTTTTTCGTGTTTTAAAGGTATCCTCACAAGATTTAAGCTGTTTGAAGTAAAGTTGCCTTTTGCAATTGACCAATAGTGATTTTGTCAATGCCCATGGTGTTCAAGTAATCTTTGTTATTATGGCTCATCATATTTTTATATTTATAAAGCTGCCAATCACAGAATCTCAAGATAGATTTATCAGCAGGCTTGAAGGCAGATCAAAGAAAGCATTCATATTTGAGTTTCTTAAAATGAATTACTTTCCTTATTCCAGTAGTATATGTGCTTAGTTTAGACATTTTAGTTTAACACCAGTGTTAAATTATTTTAAGAAAATATATTATGAGTAAATTGAGAGAATTGAGTAAATGAATACAGACTATCGGTTGAGAAGGACCAGAAAATTAAGGTGAGGGAGAAGCAAATCAGCAGAAAAGCAGAAAACTGGCTGGCATCCTAAAGAAGAATCCCTCTTGTTGCTGAAGGACACATAAAAGGAAGACACATCTACACATGAGCAGAGTATCTTTTCATCAACAGGAGTAAAAGCATGTGGCTCCCTCTAATGCACAGGTGTCAAACTCAATTGTATCACATGATGTATCCTGACTTTTTTTGGCTATTTGTAGAGCTGGGGTGGGAGTGTCCTGTGTGTGACACATCGGGCCCATGGGCCACCAGTTTGACAGGCCTGCTCTAATGCTTATAGTAACAAAAACACATCTTTTTTTTCAGGATCAGGAATAAAGTCCTAGGTTCTTTTAAGCCCTGGCCATTCATCTTTGAAAAACTTGAGTGGTACTTTCCTCTGTCTCAGCAACTCAGTTACAAAAGATCCTAAACTATTTAAAAGTGCCACTCGTGATAACCTCATTTCTAGCATCACTGCAGGAAGACTTATATCTTCCAGTTCTCTCCCAAGACCAAATGAAGAATTCGTAGCTGCTTTTTCAGCCCAGAGCTTGGCAATTGAAGGGATCTACCTACCAGTCGCTGCAGGCCCAAAAGCAGATCCTCGGCATCTTTGTTCATCTTTTTGGCCCGTCCTTTCCGCTTGGCCTCTGGAAGCCCTCCCTTCTTGTTAGCCTTTTTCTAGGGAAACCAAGAGGACATTACTTTGATATACAGAAGTAGCAAGGCTCTCCTCTCTTCCATGGGACAGAAAAGCAAGCTACCTTGCCCAACTAACCATACTCCCAGTGAACTATTGATTCCCAGAGAGAGTCTCCATCATAACAACAGGTTTACTTTACCAATGGAGCCTGAATGTCCAAAGCAGGCACAGATATGGGATCCAATACTGAGGCATTTCCCAAATCAGAAGCCATTGAGATATTGCCTCCTTCAATCCTATGGAAGAAAACCAAGCACACATTAGAGAAAGTTCCATAACAGATGCGAGCTAGAGCATTCAATTCTAAAATCACCCTGTGTCTAAATACTTGTTCTCTGAAATAATCACCAAGAAAGTATATTGCTTATTCAGGGAAAATCTTAGTTGTCACTGAGTAATTTCTCTTGACCTATAAAGCCCTTATCAGTTGGTATCTAGTTATCTTCAGGGCTACCTACTTCAGTTGGAAATGTCTAAAAAATAATGTCATCAAGGAAGCAGTTTAGTGCTTCCAGTAATAAAGAGCTGCTTAAGCTAAACAGTGCTGCTTTTCAGTAGCAGTGCTGGTTTTCAGGAACAACCTTGCAGTGAGAATTAGACTAGTCCTCTCCTTAATTTCATTTCAAAAAAATGAAAGAAAAAAACCTTACTCTTTTGCAGAGTATTCATAATTTAGACCTAACTGTTTATATGTGGCTTAACATGGCAGTGTATACTTGCCTATTGTATCTATTTTTTATGTTTTGTTTGATTTTAGGTATCTTAGGTTTAAGATTCACTGGAAATATTTCAGATACGTACATGTCATATAAACTTTCACGTTTGAATTAATGGGACATAAATATATTAAATTAATAATAGGGGATTCACTCTTTGTGCTAAGCCACAACACAATTTTAAGCTTAGCGTGTTGTATGAATCCAGCCACTGTGGTTTATAAACCATTGTCTATGGCTTATTGTTATCTGCTTATTGATATTGTTATCCAGTTGTGGTTTATTTAATACACTGTAATTAATAAAATTATGACTGATGAATCCAGCAATATGCAAACTCCTAAGTGTAGGCTTATCAGTTAAAATGCAAACTGTGTCCCCAAATCCATACCTGTGGAAACAAATAGAACTCCAAAGAAGAAAGATACATTGCTTTATAAATCTCAAAGTAAACAAAATATACATTTGATCTTTCAGGCAAATGGAACAGCAGCAGAAAGCGGTTCAAATGTGCTTAAAATAAACAAGGACAGAAATTGTCCTATTTCTACCCAATCATCCGACTATGATCAGAACCAAACAATGGTCTTTCTCCCATTGGCATCATCATACTCTGAAATGATTTTCCTCACTAATAACATTGCTATTTTGCCTAGGAGCCATCAGCTTCATTTTGACAGAACCTTTCTCCAGCCATCAAGGCTGCAATTCCACAGGCTGACCTACCTACCTCCTGACTGTCAAACTGACCTGAGTGGTATTTATTTCGGAGTAAACCTGGGAGCACCATCAGAAGCAGATCTGAGGTGGGGGACAGGCAGTCCTTTTACAGACACACACACCGCTGTGGCTCACATCTGATCTCCGGGTCTTGCTTGCAGAAGACACGGCAAGGAACCAACGCCACCCCCTCTAGAAACGGGTGCGGTGACGCCGCCTTTGAAAACAGCCCCCCCCTCGCCCGTCCGCGTTACCAAGGTGACGAGGACCACTCCCCCCTCCATGATCCACCCACCCACCCCCCAAACCTGCAACTGAAGGACCACTTCCCCCACCCTTGGAAGGGTCCAGTCCAGGTGAAGTGACGGCGGCTCGGGAGGACGCGGTTTCCCGTTGCCCCCTCGACTGCGGGCTGGGGCGATCTGCTCAAGACCAGCTAGTTGGACCCAAAGGCAGCCAGGACCTTGCGGGAAGGCAGTAATGTCGGATCGTCCGCAAAAAAAAAAGGGGGGGTGGGGGGGTTGAAGGACAGCAGGGCTTGACGGGGGCGGAGCGTGATCCCCCCCCCCCCCGCCAAGGTCTCCCCCTCACCTGGCGCTAAGGCTGACCGGCCACGCCCTTCCCACGTCCTGAGCCCGGTCTGTCTTTCTCTCTATCTCCCAGGGCGCTGCCTGATGCTGTCACCTCGGCGCCACTCCCCCTCCGCGAGGGAAACGGTTCGCCGCCCTCGGCAGAAAGTGGGCGAGACCATTCCGTTCGGGGGTGGGGAGGGCGGGGCGTGAACCAAGTGGCGCGAACGATTGGGCGGAGCCGCTGGAGAGCGGTCTCTCGGCGAGGATCACAGGAAGGGATTAGGCGAACCCACTTGTCTTTGGGCCGGGGGTACAGAACGGGTTAAAGGAGGTGGAGGCGTATAGGCTTCTGCATTAGTGTCTCTTTTGCTTTGTTTTCCTCAGTGTGTGTCGCTCTTCCTCCACTCCGGCTCGATTGTGATTTAGGGCTTAATTGAGAAGCTCAGATATTTGTAACAACAGCCTTCTAGACGGTTCAGCCTGGCTGCTTAATTTTTGGCCATGGACACGCAACACTTGGACTGCTCTGAGCATATGCTCAAGTTGTGATATGATTAGAAACTGCCCTAGGAAGCTGTTGCAGAATGCAAAATAACAGAGTTGGAAGGGACCTCGGAGGTCTTCTAGTCCAACCCCCTCCTCAGGCAGGAGACTATAGTTCTGACTACACAGGTTGCAGACAAATGGCTGTCCAATCTCTTCCTGGAATTTTGTTTCAGGAACAAGAATAAGAAAATTAAGATGGAGATGGAGTGCAACCATTCAGCATCCCTTTGCTGCAGGGCAAGCTATTATACTGTATATAAGCAGGCAACAAATGCCGCACTCAGTCGCCCTGAAGATTTTAACTAGTTGGGTAATGAAATATTTGCAAGCAAACAACCAAGCTCAGAGAGTATCAAGGACTCCACAGTTCAACCCTGAGCTACAGATATTCTCTTCTATGTTTCCTGTACTTTTAACTACCCACACTTTCCACGCAGATAGACTCTGACTTCAATTATTAGACTCCCCCATCCACCTCCCTTGATTATTTGCCCAATAAATCATAAAACATGAAAATAATTTCACCCAATTTCTGTTTACATTCGTTTTATTATAGTATAAGTGTTGATGGACAAAACTGAGATGAATTAGACAAGCACCAATGAAATGTGGGCTGTATAAATGGGTTGGTTTGTACAGAGCCCCAATACTTTTTGGACGTTGGCTGATCCTTTCCTGTCAGCTTGCATCATTGGGGTTATGAAATTCTATTGTTAGAAGGTAAAAGCTTCCATTATGCCATCTAGCCAGATCACACACCTGGCCCTAGGAAATCCCAGGCCACAAAATAAAGAACAACTTGAACCTTTCAGTCAAATTTGACACTGGATGAAACTGGTAAGAATTTGACAGACATCTCAATCAAAACCGTTAGAAATCCCATTCAGACACAATTTATATAGATTGTAGCATAATGATTTATTGAAGCCTGAACAATCAGCACTACAGTGGTGCTACATAAGGCTCAACGGCAGTGGTGGGATTCAAATTTTTTTACTACCGATTCTGTGAGCATGGCTTGGTGGGTGTGGCAGGGGAAGGATACTGTAAAATGGTAAAGGCGGAGGAATGCTTGGGTGGTAGGAGAGGAGAGGAGAGTCTCCTCGACTGACCCGAAGAAAACCCCTCCATCCGAACTAAAAAGAGAACTGCCAGCATGGCTAAATCGAAGCCAGGAAGGCAGCTGAGACAGAAGTGAAAAAGAAAGAAAAGATCTTGTAACAGCGCACTTAGTCTTGGTAAGAATCACTCCAATTTCTGCAGTGGAATTTTCCTTGGAAAGTGGGACTCAAAGGAGGAAAATAGCTACGATTAACAATCTGGAGTGACTGTCAGATTTAGCTAAAAAAAAAAAGATATTGCAACTAGAAGTAACTTTAAAAGCAAAGGACAGATTGGATTGGTTAACCCAAATTTCTGGACTGTATTTTTACTACTACTCAACTTGAAGAACTTTAGGAAACTATTGGAAAACAATCTTATTCAGAGACATATTGATTGTAGTTAAAATGTTTTAATTCAGCGAGTTTTGCTCTCTTTCAAAAATCCAGCATGCTTTGAACATCTTGTTACAGCCTATTGTTTATAGAGAAATAGCAGCAGCAATCAGAGCAATAAATTCCTCCCACCCAGTAAATCACAGCTGCTAGTAAAACAATTAATCCTTTCCTTGCAGACTCTCAATACTACCTCATTACTTTAATCAAACACTGATTAATTCATTACCTCAAAACTTACAACTTTTCTACCTCATCACCTATATCAATGATTAGATAATCAATTTCTATAAAATATTTCATTAATGGTTTGATGTATTGTTTTAATTGATTAGTGTGATTAGAGTGTTTAGTGCAAATAGTGTGATTACTGATTAGTTTAAAAGATCAAGATTAATGTAATTTAATTGATTAGTAAAATCAGTGATTTAGTGAATTTAATTGAACAGTGTGATTAATGATTGGTGTAATTAATTGATTAGCAATTAGTGTAATTAATTGATTAGGCTGATTGTTGCTTAGGAAAATTATTTGACTAGAGAGATTACTGCAATTGAATGATTGGTGTGATATTGGCTATATTGATTACCCAAAATTGTTCCATTAATTAATTTAATCAACGTACCATCTTAACAAACCTACCATGCCAAGAAAAAAATCCAATGCCAAACCACAACCTAAAGAGAAAGTAATCCACACCAATGAACCACAAGACTCCTGCACATGCCTTAAATGCTACAAAACTCTAAAGGATAATGAAAACTCCATCAAATGTTCCCTGTGTAACAAATACGCTCATCATGACTGCTTGGGATTACCCGAGCAAATGATTCAATACCTAGAATCATCCAATGAGTTTCCATATCTCTGCAAATCATGCAGACCCAAACTGGATCTGTTGGAAAGACTTGATACCATTGAAACACGAATAACATCCCTTGACACCAAAGTAGCATCCCTGGACGCCTTAAAAGAAAGATTATCCAACCTTGAAAAAAAAAGACACAATGCAAAAACCTGAACATCCAATAGCTACAAACCACATCTCTACCCAACAACCACAACCCAATCCACAAAAAAACATAAGCCAGACAAATAATGATATCCCAATCCTCATCAAAGAAGCTGTTGAGTGTGAACGGAAACGTCCAAACGCCATCTTATTTGGTCTAGAGGACA